CGTGTAATAGTTAACTAACTAGTACTGATCCATCTAACAGTGTTTATGTGTCAGTAGGTAACACAGACACGTGTAATAGTTAACTAACTAGTACTGATCCATCTAACAGTGTTTATGTGTCAGTAGGTAACACAGACACGTGTTATAGTTAACTAACTAGTACTGATCCATCTAACAGTGTTTATGTGTCAGTAGGTAACACAGACACGTGTAATAGTTAACTAACTAGTACTGATCCATCTAACAGTGTTTATGTCAGTAGGTAACACAGACACGTGTAACAGTCAACTAACTAGTACTGATCCATCTAACAGTGTTTATGTGTCAGTAGGTAACACAGACACATGCAGTAGTTAACTAACTAGTACTGATCCATCTAACAGTGTTTATGTGTCAGTAGGTAACACAGACACATGCAGTAGTTAACTAACTAGTACTGATCCATCTAACAGTGTTTATGTCACTAGGTAAACACAGACACGGGTAATAGTTAACTAACTAGTACTGATCCATCTAACTATGTTTATGTGTCAGTAGGTAACACAGACACATGCAGTAGTTAACTAACTAGTACTGATCCATCTAACAGTGTTGATGTCAGTAGGTAACACAGACACATGCAGTAGTTAACTAACTAGTACTGATCCATCTAACAGTGTTTATGTGTCAGTAGGTAACACAGACACGTGTAATAGTTAACTAACTAGTACTGATCCATCTAACAGTGTTTATGTCAGTAGGTAACACAGACACGTGTAACAGTCAACTAACTAGTACTGATCCATCTAACAGTGTTTATGTCAGTAGGTAACACAGACACGTGTAACAGTCAACTAACTAGTACTGATCCATCTAACAGTGTTTATGTGTGTCAGTAGGTAACACAGACACATGCAGTAGTTAACTAACTAGTATTGATCCATCTAACAGTGTTTATGTGTCAGTAGGTAACACAGACACATGCAGTAGTTAACTAACTAGTACTGATCCATCTAACAGTGTTTATGTCAGTAGGTAACACAGACACATGCAGTAGTTAACTAACTAGTACTGATCCATCTAACAGTGTTTATGTCAGTAGGTAACACAGACTCGTGTAATAGTCAACTAACTAGTACTAATCCATCTAACAGTGTTTATGTGTCAGTAGGTAACACAGATACGTGTAATAGTTAACTAACTAGTACTGATCCATCTAACAGTGTTAATGTGTCAGTAGGTAACACAGACACGTGTAATAGTTAACTAACTAGTATTGATTCATCTAACAGTGTTTATGTGTCAGTAGGTAACACAGACACGTCTAATAGTCATCTAACTAGTACTGATCCATCTAACAGTGTTTATGTGTCAGTAGGTAACACAGACAGGTGTAATAGTTAACTAACTAGTACTGATCCATCTAACAGTGTTTATGTGTCAGTAGGTAACACAGACACGTGTAATAGTTAACTAACTAGTACTGATCCATCTAACAGTGTTTATGTGTCAGTAGGTAACACAGACACGTGTAGGTAGTTAACTAACTAGTACTGATCCATCTAACAGTGTTTATGTGTCATTAGGTAACACAGACACGTGTAATAGTTAACTAACTAGTACTGATCCATCTAACAGTGTTTATGTCAGTAGGTAACACAGACACGTGTAACAGTCAACTAACTAGTACTGATCCATCTAACAGTGTTTATGTGTCAGTAGGTAACACAGACACATGCAGTAGTTAACTAACTAGTATTGATCCATCTAACAGTGTTTATGTGTCAGTAGGTAACACAGACACATGCAGTAGTTAACTAACTAGTACTGATCCATCTAACAGTGTTTATGTCAGTAGGTAACACAGACACATGCAGTAGTTAACTAACTAGTACTGATCCATCTAACAGTGTTTATGTCAGTAGGTAACACAGACTCGTGTAATAGTCAACTAACTAGTACTAATCCATCTAACAGTGTTTATGTGTCAGTAGGTAACACAGACACATGCAGTAGTCAACTAACTAGTACTGATCCATCTAACAGTGTTTATGTGTCAGTAGGTAACACAGACACGTGTAATAGTTAACTGACTAGTACTGATCCATCTAACAGTGTTTATGTGTCAGTAGGTAACACAGATACGTGTAATAGTTAACTAACTAGTACTGATACATCTAACAGTGTTTATGTGTCAGTAGGTTATACAAACACGTGTTATAGTTAACTAACTAGTATTGATCCATCTAACAGTGTTTATGTGTCAGTACGTAACACAGACACGTGTAATAGTTAACTAACTAGTACTGATCCATCTAACAGTGTTTATGTGTCAGTAGGTAATACAGACACGTGTAATAGTTAACTAACTAGTATTGATCCATCTAACAGTGTTTATGTGTCAGTAGGTAACACAGACACGTGTAATAGTTAACTAACTAGTACTGATCCATCTAACAGTGTTTATGTGTCAGTAGGTAACACAGACACGTGTAATAGTTAACTAACTAGTATTGATCCATCTAACAGTGTTTATGTGTCAGTAGGTAACACAGACACGTGTAATAGTTAAGTAACTAGTATTGATCCATCTAACAGTGTTTATGTGTCAGTAGGTAACACAGACACATGTAGTAGTTAACTAACTAGTATTGATCCATCTAACAGTGTTTATGTGTCAGTAGGTAACACAGACACGTGTAATAGTTAACTAACTAGTATTGATCCATCTAACAATGTTTATGTCAGTAGGTAACACAGACACGTGTAATAGTTAACTAACTAGTATTGATCCATCTAACAGTGTTTATGTGTCAGTAGGTAACACAGACACATGTAGTAGTTAACTAACTAGTACTGATCCATCTAACAATGTTCATGTCACAGACACGTAGGTAACACAGACACATGTAATAGTTAACTAACTAGTATTGATCCATCTAACAGTGTTTATGTGTCAGTAGGTAACACAGACACGTGTAATAGTTAACTAACTAGTATTGATCCATCTAACAATGTTTATGTCAGTAGGTAACACAGACACGTGTAATAGTTAACTAACTAGTACTGATCCATCTAACAGTGTTTATGTGTCAGTAGGTAACACAGACACGTGTAGTTGTCAACTAACTAGTACTGATCCATCTAACAGTGTTTATGTGTCAGTAGGTAACACGGACACATGTAGTAGTCAACTAACTAGTACTGATCCATCTAACAATGTTATTGTGTCAGTAGGTAACACAAACACATGTAATAGTTAATTAACTAGTATTGATCCATCTAACAGTGTTTATGTGTCAGTAGGTAACACAGACACATGTAGTAGTCAACTAACTAGTATTGATCCATCTAGCAACGTTATTGTGTCATTAGGTAACACACACACATGTAGTAGTCAACTAACTAGTATTGATCCATCTAACAACGTTGTTGTGTCATTAGGTAACACACACACATGTAGTAGTCAACTAACTAGTATTGATCCATCTAACAATGTTATTGTGTCATTAGGTAACACAGACACGTGTAATAGTTAACTAACTAGTACTGATCCATCTAACAGTGTTTATGTGTCAGTAGGTAACACAGACACGTGTAATAGTTAACTAACTAGTACTGATCCATCTAACAATGTTAATGACTCAGTAGGTAACACAGACACGTGTAATAGTTAACTAACTAGTACTGATCCATCTAAAAATGTTTATGTCAGTAGATAACACAGACACATGCAGTAGTTAACTAACTAGTACTGATCCATCTAACAGTGTTTATGTCAGTAGGTAACACAGACACGTGTAATTGTCAACTAACTAGTACTAATCCATCTAACAGTGTTTATGTGTCAGTAGGTAACACAGACACATGCAGTAGTCAACTAACTAGTACTGATCCATCTAACAGTGTTTATGTGTCAGTAGGTAACACAGACACATGCAGCAGTTAACAGCCACATGTCATGGTGTTTATACGTTAAACGTTGACACAAATACATACAGTGATATATCGTGACACATCTAACACAATTCGCGCTCCAGTTCTTAACACAAATAGATATGAAAATCCAGTGAGTATTATTACTGACACTGTTATGTGACAGTGTGTATACGTCAATTTTGTAAATGATGCAAGAACTGTTTTGCTTGAATGTTTCAGTTTAACCCATGCCGTGTTAGTTACACATGCACCACTGAGTGAGTCAGTCAGCTGGCTTTAACACTATATCCGTTACTAAAATCGCGACGAGTGAGATTCATGTTGATTACAGCCTGGTATGATTCAGGTAAACTCTCCGAAGATGGATATAAACCTACGGTCCTACGTGTATGTTTTTGTAGGCTTCGGAAAATTAGGTGATCCCTTCGTGTTTATTCGTCGATAACAAATTTAATATACAGTATTAAAATATGTGTGGTTCGACCGTTAATGGTTGTATTTAGACATTGTAATGGAACCATATTTGTGCTTCAAACAGTATTGCTAACAGATATAACAACAGATATGAAATTGTGTTATAATCATAAACATTAATGTTTGTAGAGTGTTTGTGCATTCATCATTTAAATGTCTAAATGCAACAAGTAAGGTAACCAGGAAGTAATGCGATGTTCCTTGGACATGTAAAAGCGTTCAAACTGCCGTATGTAGTCCTATGTTTGGTGGAAGAAGCATTGTGATGTCTAGGTGCACATGGCCTCTGTGAAGCAGATACAAGAGATAACAAAGTAGGACCAAAATCGGAAATCAGTTAATGTTCCTCAAATTATGTTTAAACCATAAACAAACAAAAGTAGCAATCAAACTTCGTTTTTATCCCGTTACACATAATACATTTAGTCATCCTGCACAGCGGAATATAATAATATGAATGAATATGAACATACATTACAAAATATTACATAACTATCCGCTACATGCAATAAACAAAACATGTATGGTAATAATTAACGAGCGAGTGGACTGCATGTGTTTGAAAGTAGGTTACACCGTCGTCACTGTTGGCATTAAGTCGGGCACAGGCGACAGACCGCACGGTTACCTGTAGTCGTCTCATACCGCCCTATCTGCTTGACCTGTTGTCCTGGTGGACAATCTCAACATTTCACGTTGGCTTTCAGTCCAGAATAAGTCAGTCAGATCAACAGTTTACGGATAATAATCACTACTGTTCTTCCCCGGAACTGCAGCGTTCAGGTGAGCATTTTAGATTACTTGTAGAGTAAATTCAACACTCTCGGGTATTAATTTCAAATGTGTTTATTGGATATCTATGTGATTTTATGTACGGGTACATGTTGCCTTATCAGCGTACAATGTAAGCACGACATACCACCGTACCAGTGATAAAGCGGTATAAATAAACCATGTGTCAGAAACGATCTCAACCACCACGACACATAACTAATATATAACTAAATTATACATAGATATCATTTTACTCATTCTATGGTCGTTTGTTAATTATGTATCCATTTATTGTTTCATTGAGATATTCCCCTACACTTATAACCCTTTGTCATCTTGCGACTTTAAGAAAATAAGTCCCTTTGTCCCCTTGTCCATCTTTGAAGTACAAGGTAACATTTGCTGGCTTAAAGAACAATGGTGCCATATACGGCAACAATGCAGTAGTCGGAGGACGCCTGTCATGTTGTTAGGTTTTACACTGTGGTTTGACCCAACAACACAACAGTAGTTGGAGGGATGAAAACATCTTTTCAGCTAACCAGAACAAGGAGTGGAAGGCCTTTTGTTAATATTGACAGTTACCATGTAGTACAAACACTTTCAGTGTCTTGTTTAGCTCACATAAACATCATCATGTAGAGCTGTCTCCCCACCGTGTGTGTCTGGTGCTTAGCTCATCGTACATTTTCACTTCCCTCACAGAGAAGTATACACCAGGTATATGGGTATATATTCAGCAAACGTTTATTATGAGGTCGCCACATGTTCAAGTATTACATTGTATTCCGTTTATATGTAATTAGATTGATTGGTTTTGATCATCTATCTTTAATGATGTTATACCCCAGAGAAGGTGCCTGTATGCACACTGTGAGTGGTATGTACAGGCGGAACATCAGCTCTGACGTATGTGGGCGACAGTAGGCGCTTGCTCGTATGGCTACCTCCTCCAGTGGGCACACGGAGTCTGGAACAGACATGTGATATTCCATATAATTACCTGACCATTGCTGATATGGCTCACAGGTAGCGCATTAGCGCATGAGTTTGAATTGATTCAGAAGGGACATAGAAGTTTCTGTGTTGGCACACACGCCTCCATACCAGTTATCAGGACGTTTGGCGTGTGCTAATATTGACTCGCAGTTACAGACAAAAACAACACACTACTAGCTCTCCATGACATTTGCTCTAGGGTCAAACGTGAACCTCCTATATGGGCTCGAAAGAGGTTTAAATGTTGCAAGTGTTACCCCCATCCCTGGCCTTACTGGATCTGTCGTTAGCAAATACCAAAATTGTCACCTTGCGAAAACTATTTAGTTTACACTCCAGGTATTCGGACGTTCGAATATAACAAATGTAATGTAGCTCATTGCCTTAGTTCGTGGTTTGTAAAACTTATGTCAGTAGAAAACATTAACAGTGGCCTATATTCTCATTGAGGGCAACATTCCAGCCGTTGATAACGTGTAGCTTTATACGTACGGAAAGTACAGTGTGGAAGGCAGTAAACGTTCACCTTATAGTTAGTACCGAGTGTGACGAGGGTGACGAGGGGACAGATTGAGGCTATTTGCATCACCTTATAGTTAGTACCGGGGGTGACGAGGGGAAAGATTGAGGCTTTTGGTGTCACCTTATAGTTAGTACCGAGGGTGACGAGGGGATAGATTGAAGCTATTGGCATCACCTTATAGTTAGTACTGGGGGTGACCAGTGGACATATTGAGGCTATTGGCGTCACCTTATAGTTAGTACCGAGGGTGACGAGGGGATAGATTGAAGCTATTGGCATCACCTTATAGTTAGTTCCGAGGGTGACGAGGGGAGAGACTGAGGCTATTGGCGTCACCTTATAGTTAGTACCGAGGGTGACGAGGGGAAAGATTGACTCTATTGTCATCACCTTATAGTTAAACCGAGGGTGACGACGGGACAGATTGACTCTATTGGCGTCACCTTATAGTTAGTACCGAGGGTGACGAGGGGATAGATTGAGGCTATTGGCGTCACCTTATAGTTAGTTCCGAAGGTGACGAGGGGAGAGACTGAGGCTATTGACGTCACCTTATAGTGAGTACCGAGGGTGACGACGGGACAGATTGACTCTATCGGCGTCACATTATAGTTAGTTCCGAGGGTGACGAGGGGATAGATTGAGGCTATTAGCGTCACCTTATAGTTAGTACCGATGGGGCCGAGGAGACAGACTGACGCTATTGGTATCACCTTATAGTTAGTACCGAGGGTGACGACGGGACAGATTGACTCTATTGGTGTCACCACATAGTAAGTACCGAGGGTGACGACGGGACAGATTGACTCTATTGGCATCTCCTTATAGTTAATAACTGGGGTGACGAGGTGATAGATTAAGGCTATTGGCGTCACCTTATAGTTAGTTCCGAGGGTGACGAGGGGAGAGACTGAGGCTATTGACGTCACCTTATAGTGAGTACCGAGGGTGACGACGGGACAGATTGACTCTATCGGCGTCACCTTATTGTTAGTACCGGGGTTGATAAGGGGATAGATTGAGGCTTTTGGTATCACCTTATAGTTAGTACTGGGGGTTATCAGGGGATAGTTTGAGGCTATTGGCATCAGCTTATAGTTAGTACCGAGGGTCACGAGGGGACAAACTGAGGCTACTAGCGTCACCTTTTTGCTAGTACCGAGGGTGACGAGGGGATAGATTGAGGCTTTTGGCATCACCTTTTTGTTCGTACCGAGGGTGAAGAGGGGACAGATTGAGGCTATTGGCGTCACCTTATAGTTAGTACCGAGGGTGACGAGGGGAAAGATTGACTCTATTGTCATCACCTTATAGTTAGTACCGAGGGTGACGACGGGACAGATTGACTCTTTTGGTGTCACCACATAGTTAGTACCGAGGGTGACGAGGGGACAGATTGACTCTATTGGCATCTCCGTATAGTTAATAACTGGGGTGACGAGGTGATAGATTAAGGCTATTGACGTCACCTTATAGTGAGTACCGAGGGTGACGACGGGACAGATTGACTCTATCGGCGTCACCTTATAGTTAGTACCGGGGGTGATAAGGGGATAGATTGAGGCTTTTGGTATCACCTTATAGTTAGTACTGGGGGTTATCAGGGGATAGTTTGAGGCTATTGGTATCAGCTTATAGTTAGTACCGAGGGTGACGAGGGGACAGATTGAGGCTTTTGGCATCACCTTATAGTTCGTACCGAGGGTGACGAGGTGATAGATTAAGGCTATTGGCATCAGCTTATAGTTAGTACCGAGGGTCACGAGGGGACAAATTGAGGCTACTAGCGTCACCTTTTTGCTAGTACCGAGGGTGACAACGGGACAGATTGAGGCTTTTGGCATCACCTTTTTGTTCGTACCGAGGGTGAGGAGGGGACAGATTGAGGCTATTGTCATTACCTTATAGTTGGTACCGATGGTGGCGAGGGTGACGAGGGGATAGATTGATGCTATTGGTATCAGCTTATAGTTAGTACCGAGGGTGACGAGGGGATAGATTGACTCTATTGGCATCTCCTTATAGTTAATACATGGGGTGACGAGGGGATAGATGGAGGCTTTTGGCGTCACCTTATAGTCAGTAACGAGGGTCACGAGGGGATAGATTGAGGTTATTGGCGTCACCTTTTTATTAATACCGAAGGTGACAACGGGACAGATTGGCTCTATTGGCGTCACTTCATAGTTAGCACCGATGGTGGCGAGGGTGACGAGAGGATAGATTGAGGTTTTTGGCATAACCTTGGAGTTAGTACCGGGGGTGGCCAGGGTGACGAGGGGATAGATTGATGCTATTGGTGTCAGCTTATAGCTATTACCGAGGGTGACGAGGGGACAGATTGACTCTATTGGCATCACCTTATAGTTAATTCCTGGGGTGACGAGGGGATAGATTGAGGCTTTTGGCGTCACCTTAGAGTTAGCCACGAGGGTCACGAGGGGATAGATTGAGGTTATTGGTGTCACCTTTTTATTAGTACCGAAGGTGACGACGGGACAGATTGACTCTATTGGTTTGACCTTATAGTTCGTACCGAGGGTGACGAGAGGATAGATTGAGGCTATTGACGTCACCCTTTTTTTAGTACCGAAGGTGACGACGGGACAGATTGGCTCTATTGGCGTCACTTCATAGTTAGTACCGATTGTGGCGAGGGTGACGAGGGGATAGATTGAGGTTTTTGGCATCACCTTTGAGTTATTACCAGGGGTGACGGAGGGATAGATTGAGGCTATTGGCATCACCCTATAGTTAGTACCGGGGGTGATGAGGAGATAGATTGAGGCTTTTGGCATCACCTTATAGTTAGTACCGGGGATGACGAAGGGAGAGATTGAGGCTATTGGCGTCACCTTATAGTTCGTACCGAGGGTGACGAGGGGATAGATTGAGGCTATTGGCGTCACCTTTTTGTTAGTACCGAAGGTGACGACGGGACAGATTGAGGTTATTGACGTCACCTTATAGTTAGTACCGAAGGTGACGAGAGGATAGATTGAGGCTATTGGCATCACCTTTTTGTTAGTACCGAAGGTGACGACGGGACAGATTGAGGTTATTGGCGTCACCTTATAGTTAGTACCGAAGGTGACGAGGGGACAGATTGAATATCCGGATTAGAATTGATCTTCAGAACCCTGGCTTGTGGTAACAGCGACTGATGGGATCGGGTGGTCAGGCTCGTTGTCTTGGTTGATACATGTTATCGTATCCCAGTTGTGTAGATCGATGCTCACGCTGTTGATCACCTGGTTGTCTGGTCCAGCCTCGATTATTTACAGACCGCGGCCATCTACTAGTAGCTGGAATATTGCTGAGTGGGGCCATAAACAAAGGACGAAACAACCAACGAACAAACCAACTAACCTTAAAGTTAGTACCGAGTGTGACGAGGGATAGGTAGACGCTAGTAATGTCACCTTATGGCTTGTACCGAGGGTGACGAGGGGATGACATGGGCAAAGACATAAGGTGTTCATTATTGAAATGATGATATGGGATTGAGATTAAGAAAGATGCATGACATTCCTTCCATTTAACACCAACCCAAGAGCAATATTTAAATGAAGTGTTGTCATAACTTTTATTCCATTTACTTTATGCCCAAAACGAAGGTGATACTGGGAATTACCGAGATATATCTTCTGATCTATACGATTTGGGCAAAGACCATGTCTGCTGAGGACAGGTGGTCAGATCTACTAGGCTCTAATGGTTGGTCTGATGATATGTCCGCCAGACATGGACACATTCCTCGACGCATGCGTCTGATGAGTCGACCAATGTCATCTCAGTTCATGTTGTTCCACCATTCAGTGTGAGCTGCAATGACGCATGTCCCGATAGCATTGACCTCGGCCTCTCTGATGGACAATATGGAAGTAGGTCAGCAAATGAGATACCACCCTGTACCATTATGCACAGAGACCTATATCTGACATTAATATTACAGCATATCGAGAAATGAGGCGTTTCTCTAACGTTAAAAATATCAAACTAGACGAGCAATAAGACTTTTTGTAAAGGTAACATTGGTATCTTAACATAACGACAACGTGTCATGTTCGTAACGTTAATATTCATATCAAAGCTTAACGATGAATACTGTGTTTCTTAAAAATTAAAAGATGGAGCATTAAACAGGAATAAACCGTTTTCATAACATTTACATTCATCTCAGACAAAGACACTTTTCCGTACTGACAACACTGATATCAGAGATTAACGAAAAGTGAGTCTTTCCCATCGTGTCAACATTGATATCGGGAAGAAAGTTTTACGGTCAGTACGATACATAAAGCTTATTACAAACTAACACTTAGGATCAGTCGGATGGAAACAGATCAGTACGATATACAGATCTGATACATAGTGAGTGAGTGAATGATTGAGTGAGTGCGAAACATATGTTCAGTACGATGATTTAGAGGTCAGGACCCTGAGTCACAAATCTCTCGTAAGCCTAAGATATCGTAACTTTTCTCGTAGCATTCTTACCTACTATGCTGTAATTTAAGCTACGATGAAAGTTCTGCTGTAACACAGGAGGTGCGAATGCTACGAGAAAAGTTACGAGATCTTAGGCTTACGAGAGCTTTGTGAAACAGGGCCTAGTACGATGGACATTTGTTAGTATGAAGCACTGGATCAGTACACAGGGGTAGCACGATCAGTACGATATAAACAAATTTATGTATTTATTTTCTTCTCCATTATTTCAGAGCTCTACAACAATGAGGCCCCCTTCCTGTGCTGCTCTACTGTTACTTGCGTTGACCCTCGTCTGGCGTGGAGCAGGTAATGCAACCAGACGGGTTTCAGACAAGGTTTAGACTCACATTCAGACTACCAATAACACCTTTACCTGTGTGTGTTCTCAGTTATGACGCAGGATACATTTTTCTATGTAATTAGATTACTACACCTATCCACAATTCGTATTGGTCATGGTGAATCCCGTAAGAAGTGTTATGTCAATATCACCCTATGTACCTGATGTCTTTACAATTCATTACCACCAACAACTTCCAACTTGAAATAGGTGTGATCACAATAATGCAGAGGTTACATGTGTTAATATCATTACCACCACCAACTTCCAACTTGATATAGGTGTGATCACAATGATGCAGAGGTTACAGGTGTTAATGTCATTATCACCACCAGCTTCCAACTTGATATAGGTGTGATCACAATGATGCAGTAGGTTACAGGTGTTAATGTCATTACCACCACCAACTTCCAACGTGATATAGGTGTGATCACAATGATGCAGTAGGTTACAGGTGTTAACGTCATTACCACCACCAGCTTCCAACTTGATATAGGTGTGATCACAATGATGCAGTAGGTTACAGGTGTTAATGTCATTACCACCACCAGCTTCCAACTTGATATAGGTGTGATCACAATGATGCAGTAGGTTACAGATGTTCATGTCATTACCACCACCAGCTTCCAACTTGATATAGGTGTGATCACAATGATGCAGAGGTTACATGTGTTTATGTCATTACCGCTACCAGCTTCCAACTAGATACAGGTGTGTTCAAAATGTGCAGCTGGTTACATGTTTTCATATTATCACAACCACCACCTACCAACTAGACACAGGTATGTTCTCAATCTGCAGCTGGTTACATGTGTAAATGTCATCACCACCACCAGCTACCAAGTTGATATAGGTGTGTTCAAAATGATACAGGAGGTTTCAGGTGTTAATGTCATTACCACTACCTACCTGTCGGACCTGTGTGTGTTCTCAGTGATGCAACAAGTTACACGTATGTATGCAATAATCACGTCTATCTACCTGTCAGACCTGAGTGTGTTCCCAGCGGTGCAGGATGTTACAGGTATCACTGTACGTAACACGTCTACCTACCTCCTACCTGTGTGTGTTCTCAGTGGTGCAGAATGTTACAGATATGACTGTCAGTATCACGTCAAACTACCTGTCTGACCTGTGTGTGTTCTCAGTGGTGCAGGAGGTTACAGGTATAACTGTGATGTCACGTCTACCTACCTGTCTGACCTATGTGTGTTCTCAGTGATGCTGAAGGTTACAGATACGACTGTCAGTGTCACGTCTACCTACCTGTCAGACCTGTGTGTGTTCTCAGTGATGCTGAAGGTTTCAGATATGACTGTGATGTCACGTCTACCTGCCTTGTGATGTCAGGAGGTTACAGTCTACACGTCTACCTACCTGCCTGATCTGTGTGTGTTCTCAGTGGTGCAGAAGATTACAGATATGACTGTCAGTATCACGTCTACCTACCTGCCTGATCTGTGTGTGTTCACAGTGATGCTGAAGATTACAGATATGACTGTCAGTATTACAGATATGATCACGTCTACCTACCTGTCTGACCTATGTGTGTTCTCAGTGAGGCAGGAGGTTACAGGTATGAATGTCCCTATGACGTCTACCTACCTACCTGACCTGTGTGTGTTCTCAGTGATGCAGGAGGTTAAAGGTATGACCGTCAGTCTACCTACCTGCCTGACCTGTGTGTGTTCTCAGCGGTGTAGGAGGTTACAGATATGACTGTCAGTATCAAGTCTACCTACCTGTTTGACCTATGTGTGTTTTCAGTGGTGTATGAGGTTACAGGTATGCCTGTCAGTATCACGTCAACCTACCTGTCTGACCTGTGTGTGTTCTCAGTGATGCAGGAGGTTCCAGGTATAACTGTGATGTCACGTCTACCTACCTGCCTGACCTGTGTGTGTTCTCAGTGGTGCAGGAAGTTACAGGTATAACTGTTATATCACGTCTACCTACCTGCCTGATCTGTGTGTGTTCACAGTGATGCTGAAGGTCACAGATATGACTGTCGGTATCAAGTCTACCTACCTGTTTGACCTATGTGTGTTTTCAGTGGTGTATGATGTTACAGGTATGCCTGTCAGTATCACGTCTACCTACCTGTCTGACCTGTGTGTGTTCTCAGTGATGCAGGAGGTTACAGGTATAACTCTGATGTCACGTCTACCTACCTGCCTGACCTGTGTGTGTTCTCAGTGGTGCAGGAAGTTACAGGTATAACTGTGATGTCACGTCTACCTACCTGCCTGACCTGTGTGTGTTCTCAGTGGTGCAGGAAGTTAAAGGTATAACTGTTATATCACGTCTACCTACCTGCCTGATCTGTGTGTGTTCACAGTGATGCTGAAGGTTACAGATATGACTGTCGGTATCAAGTCTACCTACCTGTTTGACCTATGTGTGTTTTCAGTGGTGTATGATGTTACAGGTATGCCTGTCAGTATCACGTCTACCTACCTGTCTGACCTGTGTGTGTTCTCAGTGATGCAGGAGGTTACAGGTATAACTCTGATGTCACGTCTACCTACCTGCCTGACCTGTGTGTGTTCTCAGTGGTGCAGGAAGTTACAGGTATAACTGTGATGTCACGTCTACCTACCTGCCTGACCTGTGTGTGTTCTCAGTGGTGCAGGAAGTTACAGGTATAACTGTTATATCACGTCTACCTACCTGCCTGATCTGTGTGTGTTCACAGTGATGCTGAAGGTTACAGATATGACTGTCGGTATCAAGTCTACCTACCTGTTTGACCTATGTGTGTTTTCAGTGGTGTATGATGTTACAGGTATGCCTGTCAGTATCACGTCAACCTACCTGTCTGACCTGTGTGTGTTCTCAGTGATGCAGGAGGTTACAGGTATAACTCTGATGTCACGTCTACCTACCTACCTGACCTGTGTGTGTTCTCAGTGATGCAGGAGGTTAAAGGTATGCCTGTCGGTATCACGTCTACCTACCTACCTGCCCTGTGTGTGTTCTCAGTGATGCAGGAAGTTACAGGTATAACTGTAATGTCACGTCTACCTACCTACCTGCCCTGTGTGTGTTCTCAGTGATGCAGGAGGTTACAGGTATAACTGTGATGTCACGTCTACCTACCTGCCTGACCTGTGTGTGTTCTCAGTGGTGTAGGAGGTTACAGATATGACTGTCGGTATTAAGTCTACCTACCTGTTTGACCTATGTGTGTTTTCAGTGGTGTATGAGGTTACAGGTATGACTGTCAGTATCACGTCTACCTACCTGCCTTATCTCTGTGTGTTCACAGTGATGCTGAAGGTTACAGATATGACTGTCAGTATCACGTCTACCTACCTGCCTGATCTCTGTGTGTTCACAGTGATGCTGAAGGTTACAGATATGACTGTCGGTATCAAGTTTACCTACCTGTTTGACCTATGTGTGTTTTCAGTGGTGTATGAGGTTACAGGTATGCCTGTCAGTATCACGTCTACCTACCTGTCTGACCTGTGTGTGTTCTCAGTGATGCAGGAGGTTCCAGGTATAACTGTGATGTCACGTCTACCTACCTGTTTGACCTATGTGTGTTTTCAGTGGTGTATGAGGTTACAGGTATGACTGTCGGTATCAAGTCTACCTACCTGCCTGATCTGTGTGTGTTCTCAGCGGTGCAGGAGGTTACAGATATGACTGTCGGTATCAAGTCTACCTACCTGTTGGATCTATGTGTGTTTTCAGTGATGCAGGAGGTTACAGGTATAACTGTGATGTCACGTCTACCTACCTGCCTGACCTGTGTGTGTTCTCAGTGATGCAGGAGGTTCCAGGTATAACTGTGATGTCACGTTTACCTACCTGCCTGATCTGTGTTTGTTCTCAGCGGTGCAGGAGGTTACAGATATGACTGTCAGTATCAAGTCTACCTACCTGTTGGACCTATGTGTGTTTTCAGTGGTGTATGAGGTTACAGGTATGGCTGTCAGTATCACGTCTACCTACCTGTCAGACCTGTTTGTGTTCCCATTGATGCAGGAGGTTAAAGGTATGCCTGTCAGTGTTACTTCCACCTACCTGTCTGACCTGTAGGTGTTCTCAGTTACAGGTGCTAGTGTCAATATCATCCCCACTTGTTCATTCCTATGTTTTATTCATGTACAGATCACGTCAGGCGTTAGACTAAACACCATTGCTGCAGCTTATTTCAAGTTCTCTCTTTCTCTCATTCTGTTGGAAGATCTGACACGGATATGTGTCAAGGAGCACAACAGAAGATAGATCTCCCCTGGAAACTCTTAATTAGCTTGCATATACTTTGACATATATTTCCATTATTTATTTTGTGAATATATATTAGGCATTAACTACACTTTTTATGCAGAGGGCATGTTGACGTATACATTTATTACAGTGTCTTGGGAGTGTCCTGTGGCCAAGGAAGTCCGTGGCCACCAATGCCGCTCCGACCGTGACTGCACCAGCGACGGCAAGTGCTGCGCCATCGACCACACCTACTCGTGCTGGTCGCTGGTGCAATACAATCGAGGTAAACTGCTGTAGCCGACAAACATCGACAGTAATGAGTCACCAACAAACTGTTTGGTACTGGGCTGGTAGTCCGCCCGCCACGATATACAGTAAAATATCCATTGTTTATTTCATGCTGACTGTCTATTATAACCACATGTCAATGTCTCTAGCGCATGTAAATGTCATATATACAATGCATATCAGGAAACCCCCGTCAGCAAAGCAAGTGTCCAGTGAACCTGATGTCGCATTCCAGAGCCACGTGGTCTTGTAGATTCATGTGTATAGGCCCAAGGCTGCCCATGTACATTGAACGTATGTTTGTGTAGATATGCTGAACTGCCCAGCCCGCAAAGAGATCCAGCCCACCAGTTGCTACAATGGGTGTTGGACAGACAGCGACTGTCAGGGAGGAAGGAAATGCTGTCAAAGTCACACAGACTGCGGCCTGACTTGCTACCCGCCGATCAAGTATGAGAAGGGTTAGTGGTTATTGCTTACATGGGAACACCAGAATCAGTAGCTTCCGTTACCTCCTTATGATGGAAAGCGTCTTCATGCCACCAATTACTATCACGACCAAAGTGAAACGTCATTAAAAGTTGCCTGGAAATGACTGAAATGATAGACGAACATATTGAACCTTAATAAATATTCAACAAACAAATGCAGAGTATCTTTAGTGTCTGACGTGACGTGTTTGTTTAGTGAAGGCCGTCATCTGCCCGGCCCCCTCAGACCCCCGGGACTTCCGTTGTCACTACCCCTGCCACTCTGATGCCGACTGTCTGAACATGGGCCGTTGCTGCAACTTCCCCTGCGGCAAGTCGTGTTGGTGGTCACCCGTGGAGGCCTTCATCACAGGTAAATGACCCCTGTCGCGACATCAACCACTACAGCAACAAATCGTTAAACTCGTGGTATCGTAAACTCCTTCATCAATATTAAGATGTGATGACTGCATGATTTTAATATGGTTCAGTATGTCTGTCGACATGTTCCTATTTCAGCTACGGTGAGGGGAGATTGTTCCTATCAGGAGAACGCTGCTATAGGGGAGGAGGACGTACGTTTGTCCTGCGAACTCAGGATCAACTCCACCACACCCGTGCAGGTAGAATGGTATAGGGGTCGCGCGCCCATGCCGAACGGGCGTGGCCGAGTCCACAGTATGAAGACCTGCAAGGATCGAGATTGTCGGAATTTGGAAACACATCTAATGTTTGATAGAATACAGAGTGACGACGCCGGTGAGACTGCCTTTGTCGCCACCAGATCACGTGTCTGTTACAGAATCATAGATTTACAGGGTTTCGTATCTGTAAAGTAAATAGTTTGTATGTTATAGTTTGTCATCTCACAGTTTATCTGTTAATTTGTCATCTAAGTATACATGTGGAAAACAGTATTGCAACACCTAAGATATTTAACCACATATAGCCATTTATATTCTTATCATAATTAGGTTTGTTTGTATGATTAAACAGCTATAAAGTTCCAGTAAAGTGTTCCTGCAGGTCGGAAACTTTGACAACCAACTGATTTCGATGTTGATAAGCAATATCCTCAAATAAATCTGCTCATAGTTTTCTAATTATTCGTATGCGGAATGCTGGCATGTCATTGAGAACTATTGCAAGAGATGATGTCATCCATCAACTATCAGCCAACTGGCTGACATCAGCAAACTAATGACGTCAGGGACCGTCAGCTTTCAGGTAGAGATGAATGTCCAATCATAGGGAGCCTGTCTCAGAATCAACAAAATCAACCCGTTCATGTCAAATGGCATGTTTACAACATGGAGACTTCCACATCGCGACCTCGTGACGATCAGACAAAATCTCAATGGACAACGGTACATTCTTGACAGGGTTGTACAATATTTCGATGACAATCCTCTGAACACAAGGCAAGTCTTCGTGGCCGACAATACAAGGCCAAATCATGTACGTGCCGTTGGTGATTTCTTTCGTCAAGAGCTCGGTAGCAACTCTTCTTTGACTCGCCAGGAGTTCAGGTGTCAATCCCACTGAGCATGTCTGGGGCAGTATGGGTTGCAGCATTAGCCTGAGAGCTATGTACAAAATCTTTATGTACTGAACAAGCCCTCCACCAAGACCTCAGTACTTCAACGTCATATTCAACGTCTGCTAGAGTCAGCGAGGAGGGTCAGGGATGTTGATGCAGTTGGCGCAGATTACACCAGTTTATTAATATTTATGTGATTTATTGAGGATTGTATGCCGGGATCTTGAAAGTGACCACCCTTGTCATATGACCATAGTTATCACAACTACAAAATGAGTCAATTTTATGCCACGTATTCTTCTATGTTTAAACAACAGTTTTTCGTTCTTTTTTGTCATTTAAATATTCCTTGACGGTCAATGTATCGAAGTTGTAAGTTAAAGTGAAGTTTAGATAAGTTAATTCCTATGGTTAAAGGTAACATACTGATACTTTAAAAAATATGTTGTGTTGCGATACTTTTTTCCATGTATGTATACTTGAAGTTCACTGTTGACTTAACTGACTGTAGTTTACCACTGGAATATAATTGTGTTGTCTACGTTGGGGAAGTTTTGTTTTATAAATGATAGACCTGGCAGGGACATTATGGTGTTTCAGGTACATACACCATGATTGTCACATCAGGTCGTGAGAAATATGGCCACGCCGTCAATCTGACGATCTTCAGCAGTCCTGACATCGAGATACACCCTCCACTAAGCACTGTCTACTCCGGGGACAAGGTGGACCTGACGTGCAGGATTGTCAACTTGGACAAGACAAACCCCTACTACAAAACAGGCATCAAACTGAAGTGGTGTCACCGAGGGCTCAGCAATGCAAGTGTGTATATATACATACTTACAGCAAAGGAGGCAGGCATTAGCTTACTGTATGCACATACAGCAAAGAAGGCTGACATAAGCTTACTGTATACACATATAGCAAAGGAGGTTGACATCAGCTTACTGTATACACATATAGCAAAGGGGGTTGACATAAACTCACTGTATACACATATAGCAAAGGAGGTTGACTTAAGGCTATTGTATACACATATAGCAAAGGAGGTTGACATTAGGCTACTGTATACACATATAGCAAAGTGGGTTGACATTAGGCTACTGTATACACATATAGCAAAGGAGGTTGACATCAGCTTACTGTATACACATATATAGCAAAGGAGGTTGACTTAAGGCTATTGTATACACATATAGCAAAGGAGGTTGACATCAGCTTACTGTATACACATATAGCAAAGGGGGTTGACATAAACTCACTGTATACACATATAGCAAAGGAGGTTCACTTTAGGCTACTGCATACACATATATCAAAGGAGGTTGACATCAGGCTACTGTATACACATATAGCAAAGGAGGTTGACTTTAGGCTCCTGTATACACATATAGCAAAGGAGGTTGACTTTAGGCTACTGTATACACATATAGCAAAGGAGGCTGACTTCAGGCTACTGTATACACAAATATCAAAGGAGGCTGCTTTAGGCTCCTGTATACACATATAGCAAAGGAGGTTGACTTTAGGCTATTGTATACACATATAGCAAAGGAGGTTGACATAAGCTTACTGTATGCATATATAGCAAAGGAGGCTGACTTCAGGCTCCTGTATACACATATAGCAAAGGAGGTTGACATAAGCTTACTGTATACACATATAGCAAAGGATGCTGACTTCAGGCTACTGTATACACAAATATCAAAGGAGGCTGCTTTAGGCTCCTGTATACACAAATATCAAAGGAGGCTGCTTTAGGCTCCTGTATACACATATAGCAAAGGAGGTTGACTTTAGGCTACTGTATACACATATAGCAAAGGAGGTTGACATAAGCTTACTGTATGCACATATGGCAAAGGAGGTTGACTTTAGGCTATTGCATGGACATATAGCAAAGGGGGTTGACATAAGCTTACTGTGTGCACATAAAGCAAAGGAGGCTGACCTTAGGCTATTGTATGTATATATAGCACAGAAGGTATCAACCTTTTGTACGTGCATGTAACACAGACATGTGATATCACCCTTTTGTACGTACATGTAACACAGATATCTGATATCACCCTTTTGTACGTACATGTAACACAGACATGTGACATCAACCTTTTGTACGTACATGTAACACAAACATGTGACATCACCCTTTTGAACGCACATGTAACACTGACATGTGATATCACCCTTTTGTACGTGCATGTAACACAGACATGTGACATCACCCTTTTGTACGTACATGTAACACAAACATGTGATATCACCCTTTTGTACGTGCATGTAACACAGACATGTGATATCACCCTTTTGTACGCACATGTAACACAGACATGTGACATCACTTTTTTGTACGCACGTGTAACACAGATATGTGACATCACCCTTTTGTACGTACATGTAACACAGACATGTGACATCACCCTTTTGTATGCACATGTAACACAGATATGTGATATCACCCTTTTGTACGTACATGTAACACCGACATGTGACATCAACCTTTTGTACGCACATGTAACACATATATGTGACATCACCCTTTTGTACGTACATGTAACACAGATATGTGACATCACCCTTTTGTACGCACATGTAACAAGACATGTGACATCACCCTTTTGTACGCACATGTAACACAGATATGTGATATCACCCTTTTATACGCACATGTAGCACAGATATGAGACATCACCCTTTTGTACGCACATGTAACACAGACATGTGACCTCACCCTTTTGTACGCACATGTAACACAGACATGTGACATCCCCCTTTTGAACGTACATGTAACACAGACATGTGACATCACCATTTTGTACGTACATGTAACACTGACATGTGATACCACCCTTTTGTACGTGCATGTAACACAGACATGTGACATCACCCTTTTGTACGTACATGTAACACAAATATGTGATATCACCCTTTTGTACGTGCATGTAACACAGACATGTGACCTCACCCTTTTGTACGCACATGTAACACAGATATGTGACATCACCCTTTTGTACGTACATGTAACACTGACATGTGATATCACCCTTTTGTACGTACATGTAACACAGATATGTGACATCCCCCTTTTGAACGTACATGTAACACAGACATGTGACCTCACCCTTTTGTACGTACATGTAACACAGATATGTGACATCACCCTTTTGTACGCACATGTAACACAGACATGTGACATCACCCTTTGGTACGCACATGTAACACAGACTTGTGACATCCCCCTTTTGAACGTACATGTAACACAGACATGTGACCTCACCCTTTTGAACGTACATGTAACACAGACATGTGACATCACCCTTTTGTACGCACATGTAACACAGATATGTGACATCACCCTTTTGTACGCACATGTAACACAGACATGTGACATCACCCTTTTGTACGCACATGTAACACAGACTTGTGACATCCCCCTTTTGAACGTACATGTAACACAGACATGTGACCTCACCCTTTTGTACGCACATGTAACACAGATATGTGACATCACCCTTTTGTACGCACATGTAACACAGACATGTGACATCACCCTTTTGTACGTACATGTAACACAGACATGTGACATCACCCTTTTGTACGCACATGTAACACAGATATGTGACATCACCCTTTTGTAAGCGCATGTAACACAGACATGTGATATCACCCTTTTGTACGTACATGTAACACAGATATGTGACATCACCCTTTTGTACGTACATGTAACACAGACATGTGACATCACCCTTTTGTACGCACATGTAACACATATATGTGACATCACCCTTTTGTACGTGCATGTAACACAGATATGTGACATCACCCTTTTGTACGTACATGTAACACAGACATGTGACATCATCCTTTTGTACGTACATGTAACACAGATATGTGACATCACCCTTTTGTACGCACATGTAACACAATATGTGACATCACCCTTTCGTACGTGCATGTAACACAGACATGTGACATCACTTTTTTGTACGAATATGTAACACAGACATGTGACATCACCCTTTTGTACGCACATGTAACACATATATGTGACATCACCCTTTTGTACGTGCATGTAACACAGACATGTGACATCACTTTTTTGTACGTACATGTAACACAGACATGTGACATCACCCTTTTGTACGTACATGTAACACCGACATGTGACATCACACTAGTGTATATACGTGTTACACAGAATTCTGACATCACCCTTTGTATGTGCTTGTAACCCTGACATCAGACCTTACATTACTGCATGTGACAATACCCATTCCATATATATATGGACAATGGACGGTGGTGAAACTCACATTGCTGACATTACTTATTGCAGACAACAACGGTATCCACTACCACGGTTTCGGCGAGGAGACAATTCGACTGACCAACGTGAGCGGTGATGTTGTGATAGGTTGTGGCCTCAACAGTACGGATTGCACTGTGACAGCTGAGGTCAAGGTACTGCCTAACGGTATGTTATCTGTAACCTCTCTGTCTCGTTCTGTCAGTCAATTAGAAACTGCGGATGTACGATATGTGACCTTCTACAGAGTGATACACTAACGGAAACAAGTAACTGTGCATTACATAAAATTCCATAAAATAAATGTCATTTGAAAAGTTATAAAAATAACCCTAAATAAAAATGTAGCAAAGCCCTTAAATGTGTGTGAATTTGGATGTCACGTATCGGGATGTCACGTGAAGAATTGTTGATTATTCTCTAGCCTCTGAATGTGGAAAACACGTCAATGTCAACCTAAGCTGCGCGAAAGTCATGCCACGGCTTAAAGAATATCAGCATCTCCGCGTCCTGGGTATGCTGGAGACTGGAATGGTTCAAAATGAAGTGACCAGACATTTTGGTGTCCATCAAAACACGATCTCATCTCTGTGGAGACGTTTTCAACATAATAGGAACACGAGAGATTAATTTGACCTCGGACTGGACGAATTGCAAAGGCAGTGCAAACTAGAGTGGAAATAAAAATCCAATGTCAGAAAAAGTACAATGGCAAACTTATTTAGAAATCAGTGATTATAGCATGTGAAAGTGATGCTGATGTTCATTTGGCTGCAAGTGGTCAAGCTTCCAAAACAGGCTTGGACATGGTAGAGAGTGATCTACCAACACCATATGGTCTTCACGTCATTTCACGTGATGAACATGTGTAATCGTACATTCGTATATACCATGAGATAAACAGAATGTACTATAGATAAATGTGTAATCGTACATTCGTATATACCATGAGATAAACAGAATGTACTATAGATAAATATGTGTAATCGTACATTCGTATATACCTTGAGATAAACAGAATGTACTATTGATAAATATGTGTAATCGTACATTCGTATATACCATGAGATAGACAGAATGTACTATAGATAAATATGTGTAATCGTACATTCGTATATACCTTGACATAAACAGAATGTACTATAGATAAATATGTGTAATCGTACATTCGTATATACCATGAGATAAACAGAATGTACTATAGATAAATGTGTGTAATCGTACATTCGTATATACCTTGAGATAAACAGAATGTACTATAGATAAATATGTGTAATCGTACATTCGTATATACCTTGAGATAAACAGAATGTACTATAGATAAATATGTGTAATCGTACATTCGTATATACCTTGAGATAAACAGAATGTACTATAGATACATATGTGTAATCGTACATTCGTATATACCATGAGATAAACAGAATGTACTATAGATAAATATGTGTAATCGTACATTCTTATATACCTTGAGATAAACAGAATGTACTATAGATAAATATGTGTAATCGTACATTCGTATATACCTTGAGATAAACAGAATGTACTATAGATAAATATATGTAATCGTACATTCGTATATACCATGAGATAAACAGAATGTACTATAGATAAATGTGTGTAATCGTACATTCGTATATACCTTGAGATAAACAGAATGTACTATAGATAAATATGTGTTATCGTACATTCGTATATACCTTGAGATAAACAGAATGTACTATAGATAAATATGTGTAATCGTACATTCGTATATACCTTGAGATAAACAGAATGTACTATAGATACATATGTGTAATCGTACATTCGTATATACCATGAGATAAACAGAATGTACCATAGATAAATATGTGTAATCGTACATTCGCATATACCTTGAGATAAACAGAATGTACTATAGATAAATGTGAGTAATCGTACATTCGTATATACCATGAGATAAACAGAATGTACTATAGATAAATGTGTGTAATCGTACATTCGTATATACCATGAGATAAACAGAATGTACTATTGATAAATATGTGTGATCGTACATTCGTATATACCTTGAGATAGACAGAATGTACTATAGATAAATATGTGTAATCGTACATTCGTATATACCATGAGATAGACAGAATGTACTATAGATAAATATGTGTAATCATACGTTCGTATATACCTTGAGATAAACAGAATGTACTATAGACAAATATATGTAATCGTACATTCGTATATACCATGAGATAAACAGAATGTACTATAGATAAATGTGTGTAATCGTACATTCGTATATACCTTGAGATAAACAGAATGTACTATAGATAAATGTGTGTAATCGTACATTCGTATATACCATGAGATAAACAGAATGTACTATAGATAAATGTGTGTAATCGTACATTCGTATATACCTTGAGATAAACAGAATGTACTATAGATAAATATGTGTAATCGTACATTCGTATATACCTTGAGATAAACAGAATGTACTAGAGATAAATATGTGTAATCGTACATTCGTATATACCATGAGATAAACAGAATGTACTATAGATACATATGTGTAATCGTACATTCGTATATACCATGAGATAAACAGAATGTACTATAGATAAATATGTGTAATCGTACATTCGTATATACCTTGACATAAACAGAATATACTATAGATAAATGTGTGTAATCGTACATTCGTATATACCTTGAGATAAACAGAATGTACTATAGATAAATATGTGTAATCATACATTCGTATATACCTTGAGATAAACAGAATGTATTATAGATAAATATGTGTAATCGTACGTTCGTATATACCTTGAGATAAACAGAATGTACTATTGATAAATGTGTGTAATCGTACATTCGTATATACCTTGAGATAAACTGAATGTACTATAGATAAATATGTGTAATCGTACATTCGTATATACCATGAGATAAACAGAATGTACTATAGACAAATGTGTGTAATTGTACATTCGTATATACCTTGAGATAAACAGAATGTACTATAGACAAATTTGAGTAATCGTACATTCGCATATACCTTGAGATAGACAGAATGTACTATAGACAAATGTGTGTAATCGTACATTCCTATATACCTTGAGATAGACAGAATGTACTATAGACAAATGTGTGTAACAGAGCCCGCTCCCACTTTAACAATTGTATCACACACTGAATGTGTTACATGCTTGTTTGACAACCAGTGCAATGTTACAGCTGACCGCGGCTGCCCTGTGTCTGTAGACATCAGGAGGTACAAGTGGCCGTGGACACCCGCCAGCAAGGCCAGGGTCGCACCGTGTCCAGTTGGCTATTCCGGTAGGGATTCTACACGTCTCAAAAATCAACTCACTGTCAAGGATGCGCATGCTCGATGCACTTCGATCTTTATTAAATACATGTGTTTTATAACATTATTTTGGTAACGACTAAAGATATAGACACTGATGTACGTTTCAACGTGTATTACAGGGAGAGCCAGTCGGTTGTGCAGTGACGTCTCCACGTGGTTTTACCCCAACTACTACCGCTGTGTCAGCCACCGGATAACCCACGTGGACCGCGAGGTATCACCATCCACAGATACACAGACAGATACACAGACTCAGCACACTGCAGGCACACATGCACGGCATACATATGCCATACATACATATACATAACTACGAAGGACATATGCCCTTAACAGTTTGTATGAGGTCCAATACGTCCCATGCTGACAGCCTGGTCACATGTTTTCTGCCTCTTCATCAAAAACATTCTAGCTTCATGACCTGTAAGAGCCCTCCTGATTTCATTGAGTTGTTTGTATCTGTTCACAATGGTTGAGTTCAAAACCCCGAGCCACACTTAGTAGCACGTGAGAAATGTAAACAAAATAGGTATATAGCACTCTAAACAAGGCCTTGTACACAGCTTTTCTATCAACTGCTACGGGTAGAAGGACATGCTCCAATCCATCAGTGAATGTCAACCTGTGAGATAAGATACAGAAATTATATTTCAAATGATGGGTTATTCCTATAGTCGGATGCAAATAATACAGTTTAATTAATAGTGTATATGTATATGCTTTTCATGTACTTACCCGTTGGCTTGAAATGCTGAGCGTAAATTGTCCATGCTGCAATCTCTCTCTGATGATTTCAAATGGCAAAATCAGAAAGTGTTAAAGTTAACCCTTTGATGTCTAAACATCATAAATCAATTTGAACTGTGTGAACTCGGGGTGCTTGTGATCTTTGTACGTTGTTAAACTTTTTTCCTCAGCCACTGATGAAAGATATTTGATTTCTTTAATCTATTTGATTACACATTTTTTGTTTATTCCAATTTAAAACATTTCAAAAAGTAACCTCATTCCACATTTGTTACATTTAGACATTTGAAATCCCCTGATCTATGACCGGTGAAGATCCGGGTTAAAATTGATCTTCAGCAACCCAGGCATGTAAGATCGGATGGTCAGCCTCGCTGACTTGGTTGACACATCCCAATTGCATAGGTCGATGCTCATACTGTTGGTCACTGGATTGTCTGGGCCAAACTCGATTATGTACAGACCATCGCCATATAGTTGAAATATTGCTGAGTGTGGCTTAATACAACAAATAAACAACACGAACACGTGCACGTCTACTTGCAGCTGGGGAAGATGAAGACAGGGGCGTTGTCAGCCAGCTACATAACCCCGGTACTGGTACAGCTGGACACGGCAGCAACGGAGCTGAATCTGACCGGCGGCGACATTGGCGGTATCGTGTCTTCCATCTCTGACATCATCATCCTTGTGAAGGTCACCAGGCGGAAACTGGGGGAAGATGGACGTGAGGTAGGAGGGAATGGCAGGGTACAGAGTTTGTGCACATTCGACACATATTCGAAAACTTTGGAATGACATCCCGGATGTGGGGTGCGTTGGTGACCTTGTAAGATAGTAATGTGGATTTGTTTCACAAGCATTTGGACAAATCTAGTTTCGACCTGTGACACCGTGTGCAAAGCACATACACACTGATCATGTCGGGGCTTGTTTTCCAGTCCTTCATCAACGTCGTGAACAGCGCCTTGGCCAAGGGTAATCTACATGAGTGGAACATTCTACTCAAGGAGGCGGTGAGTGTCCACAATACCTTCTTATCAATCTCAACAACGATGTGCTAAATGTAGTAACTTGCTTTCAGTGCAGTGCAACATAACGTATTGTTCCCAAAGATCTTTACCATCCCATAATAAATGGCAGCTTCAATTGTTGACGACAATGTGTTCAGAACATTCTCTATTTTGCCACAGCTCAACCAATCAACAGTTAGCTCTCTCTTGCGCTCTGTCAGTGACTTTGGACTGCTGACTGCAGAGGACCACGTTGTCAACGATGACCCAGCTCATGTGGTCAAGGAGACGATATGTACGTTTCGTATGTGCTTACAACAATGACGTACTTTCTAGAAACGTGTGATGTAAATGCACATTTAATTGTACTTCTAACTAGCCGTCAATTTAGAACTATGAAAGATATAAAAAAAAAATTGTCAGCGCTATCATAGAACACCAATATTGTCTACAGTTTTCAGTTGTCTCTCTTTAGGCAGGTGGCTTTTGTTTCAGTATTTGGCGCCGGGAAGACGTCTCCTAAGGACATGGTGTTCCCCGATGATACAACTGACGAACGTGGTAATATACCTCTCGTCATCAGCAGGAGCTACTGTACCATGTAGCTAGATAGTCAGAGTCTCTAGTCATCTTCGGGAGCTACTGTACCATGTACCTGATAGTCATTGCCTCTAGTCATCTTCAGGAGCTACTGTACCATGTAGCTAGATAGACAATGTCTCTAGTCATCTTCAGGAGCTACTGTACCATGTAGCTAGAAAGTAATTGCCTCTAGTTATCTTCAGGAGCTACTGTACCATGTACCTGATAGTCATTGCCTCTAGTCATCTTCAAGAGCTACTGTACCATGTAGCTAAATAGTCATTGCCTCTAGTCATCTTCAGGAGCTACTGTACCATGTAGCTAGATGGTCATTGCCTCTAGTCATCAGCAGGAGCTACTGTACCATGTAGCTAGATAGTCATTGCCTCTAGTCATCATTAGGAGCTACTGTACCATGTAGCTAGATAGTCATTGTCTCTAGTCATCTTCTGGAGCTACTGTACCATGTAGCTAGACAGACAATGTCTCTAGTCATCTTCAGGAGCTACTGTACCATGTAGCTAGAAAGTAATTGCCTCTAGTTATCTTCAGGAGCTACTGTACCATGTACCTGATAGTCATTGCCTCTAGTCATCTTCAGGAGCTACTGTACCATGTAGCTAAATAGTCATTGCCTCTAGTCATCTTCAGGAGCTACTGTACCATGTAGCTAGATTGTCATTGCCTCTAGTCATCAGCAGGAGCTACTGTACCATGTAGCTAGATAGTCATTGTCTCTAGTCATCTTCAGAAGCTACTGTACCATGTAGCTAGATAATCATTGTCTCTAGTCATCTCATGGTGCTACTGTACCATAAAGCTAGAAAGTCATTGCCTCTAGTCATCTTCAGGAGCTACTGTACCATGTAGCTAGATAGCCATTGCCTCTAGTCATCTTCAGGAGCTTCTGTACCATGTAGCTAGATAGTCATTGCCTCTAGTCATCTTCAGGAGCTACTGTACCATGTAGCTAGATAGTCATTGCCTCTAGTCATCTTCAGGAGCTACTGTACCTTGTAGCTAGATAGTCAATGTCTCTAATCATCTTCAGGAGCTACTGTACCATGTAGCAAGAAAGTCATTGCCTCTAGTCATCTTCTGAAGCTACTGTACCATGTAGCTAGATAATCAATGTCTCTAGTCATCAGCAGGAGCTACTGCACCATGTAGCTAGAAAGTCATTGCCTCTAGTCATCTTCAGGAGCTACTGTACCATGTAGCTAGATAGTCATTGCCTCTAGTCATCAGCAGGAGCTACTGTACCATGTAGCTAGATAGTCATTGTCTCTAGTCATCTTCAGGAGCTACTGTACCATGTAGCTAGATAGTCATTGCCTCTAGTCATCTTCAGGAGCTACTGTACCATGTAGCTAGATAGTCATTGCCTCTAGTCATCTTCAGGAGCTACTGTACCATGTAGCTAGATAGTCATTGCCTCTAGTCATCTTCAGGAGCTACTGTACCATGTAGCTTGATAGTCATTGTCTATAGTCATCTTCAGGAGCTACTGTACCATGTAGCTAGATAATCAATGTCTCTAATCATCTTCAGGAGCTACTGTACCATGTAGCTAGATAGTCATTGTTTTTATAGTCATCTTCTGGAGCTACTGTACCATGTAGCTAGATAGTCATTGCCTCTAGTCATCTTCAGGAGCTACTGTACTATGTAGCTAAATAGTCATTGCCTCTAGTCATCTTCAGAAGCTACTGTACCAAGTGTAGCTAGAAAGTCATTGCCTCTAGTCATCTTCAGGAGCTACTGTACCATGTAGCTAGATAGTCAATGTCTCTAGTCATCTTCAGGAGCTACTGTACCATGTAGCTAGATAGTCATTGCCTCTAGTCATCTTCAGGAGCTACTGTACCATGTAGCTAGAAAGTCATTGCCTCTAGTCATCTTCAGGAGCTACTGTACCAAGTAGCTAGAAAGTCATTGCCTCTAGTCATCTTCTGGAGCTACTGTACCATGTAGCTAGATAGTCATTGCCTCTAGTCATCTTCAGGAGCTACTGTACCATGTAGCTAGATTGTCATTGTCTCTAGTCATCTTCTGGAGCTACTGTACCATGTAGCTAGATAGTCATTGCCTCTAGTCATCTTCAGGAGCTACTGTACCATGTAGCTAGATAGTCAATGTCTCTAGTCATCTTCAGGAGCTACTGTACCATGTAGCTAGATAGTCAATGTCTCTAGTCGTCTTCTGGAGCTACTGTACCATGTAGCTGATAGTCATTGCCTCTAGTCATCTTCAGGAACTGCTGTACCATGTAGCTAGATAGTCATTACCTCTAGTCGTCTTCAGGAGCTACTGTACCATGTAGCTAAATGGTCATCACAGCTATCCATCATCAGAAGCTACGATGAAAAGTTTAAGAGTCTAACAAAATGTATGTAAACTCAATCTCCTGGGGTACCATCCTCGATAATCTCCAGCGAATACGTTCCGATAAATCTCCACAGTTATCGTTTCTCCTTTAACAGGAATAGATTTAGTTGATGGTTATGACCATATACAGCCGATAAATGTGGGTTTTTTTCAAAACTTACTTCGCCTGATTATTTCCCCTAGCGGGCGTCCCTAGATATAGAAGATCCAGCAGGGAGACCACGTCAGTCGCTGTTCAGAAGGCTACCCTCGTCAACTTAATGGACGGTGAGTTCTACGTTTTTCAGGTACATGAGAAGCAACACGTGTCGTGATAAAAGATAGACTGCATATTAATAATGTCCCTTGTGCAATGGGGTCGAGAACGATAACGGTTTCCCCCTTGGTAATGCTTACATGCGACAATGTTTTAACAGGTCCCACAGACGAGATCAAGTGGACGTACTCTATTTACACGACACTACCAGACATCATGAACCTTGACGGGCACACGGATAGCATAAGGTAGTAGCATCTATCGTTCTGACAAAGTACATTTAATGATACTTAATGAAGGAAGGACACTTCTACACCACACCATAATAAATCAACCAAGCCATGTTCCAGCAATGTATATGTCCAACAGGTCGGTTTCTTTCACTGAGAGAGAGCGAGTAAAGGTCGTGTCAGATATTGTCTCCTTCATGGTGAAGTCGAAGGAGGGAGCTGAATTGGACCCACCTATTAGAGCCCGGATGAAGATGAGGACACAGGAGGACGAGGTTAGTAGATGACTCTCTATTGTGCCAACTGTCAGAAGATCAAACGCATAAGTTCTTTGCTATATGCATTCAGAGAGAGTACAAGTACAGGACAAGTATGATGGATTGGTTTACTGAACGAACCATCCACTTCGAAGATGAACTGACTGGGTATATACGAGTCTCTCTGTGGTGTAATATTCCTCATCCAAGGTTGTATTGCTGTGTTTATTTCAGACATCCCTCAATAGTGCGGTCCAGAAGATGTGCGGCAGGTTCATTCCTATCGAAGGGTAATTATGCAAGTTATCGTTACCATAATGGTTGACTAGAGCACTCGTTATGTTACTGAACTGACCAGTTGCTATACTTTCTGAATTTCAAGAACATGAACTGGATAGCATGCTGTGTTGTTCAGCCTTCCCAGAATGTGTCAGTCCCATACATTGTTCAGCTTTCCTAGCTTGTGTCAGTCCCATACAGTGTTCAGCTTTCCTAGCTTGTGTCAGTCTCCTACAGTGTTCAGCTTTCCTAGCTTGTGTCAGTCTCCTGCACTGTTCAGCCTTCCCAGCATGTGTCAGTCCCATACAGTGTTCAGCCTTCCCAGCATGTGTCAGTCTCCTACAGTGTTCAGCATTCCTAGCTTGTGTCAGTCTCCTACAGCGTTTACCATTCCTAGCTTGTGTCAGCCCCATAGAGTGTTCAGCATTCCTAGCTTGTGTCAGTCCCCTACAGTGTTCAGCTTTCCTATAGCTTGTAAGCCCCATACAGTGTTCAGCCTTCCTAGCTTGTGTTAGTCTCATACAGTGTTCAGCCTTCCTAGCTTGTGTCAGTCTCCTACAGTGTTCAGCCTTCCTAGCTTGTGTCAGTCTCCTACAGTGTTCAGCTTTCCTAGCTTGTGTCGGTCTCCTGCAGTGTTAATCATTCCTAGCTTGTGTCAATCTCCTACAGTAGGCGACACTTCCAAATTCCTGTCCTGCAGTTATTCTGCTAGTTGATGCCCGTCACTAAATTGTGCTATGCTTGTGTCTAGAAGCAACACGAGTCGCTGGGTGTCTGCCGGTTGCCAGCTGGTTGTCGACAGCAGTGGGGTCGTGTGTGAGTGCAGCAGGCTCGGTCACATCGCAGTCCTCACAGTGGTAGGTGCTTCACGTACACCGTTGTAAGCAGCTAGTGGACAACATAAACATCCTTAATGATCGTATCATCACGACAATGAATAGATTAATGTTACATGATGTGAGTGGGAGATCAAATGATGTACAGTTTCACAGTACCGGATGGCATCTCTATTTTCCCAGGAACAGGTGACTCCCAGAGTACAACCGCTGTTCCTGACTCTCCTGAAAGCCGTATGTTCAGTGCCTCTGCTGGGGGCTATCATAATCATCATTGTCCGGATCAAACGTAGAGCGTTAGTAAATTCATCTTACCCATGTCTATAACAACTTAACTGACACACATTAATCTACTACACTAACTTACTTTATGTAAATGTAGCGACACACATCTCTCCAGGTATTTACTTCACGTATACACATTGGCACATATACCTGTAGAATGCTATTTCACATATACATATTTACACATATACCTCTAAAAGATTACTTTGCATATATGTATTAACACACAAACCTCAACCGCTCTTGCGCATCCGCATTGACACATATATAGTATGACCAGAAATTATTGAGAATTTTCGGAATATGTTTGATTGGATTTCTAGTATAAACAACCTTGACCAGCTATCAAGTGCTTGGTTTCATTCAAGAGAGACAAATCCGTTAATCCTTTTTCATTAGTTTGTGAAGAGTTATCCCCTTTGTTTACTTGCTAGCAGACAGCATTTTCTGTGACCCTCAGTATGGATGATTTAGCGAAGAGGAAGTTGATTTTAGAGTATTATAACAAGGACATCAGATCAGCTTAAGTGATTTCAAGTAGAACAGGCATCCCTTTGTCCACTGCTTATCGTGTTTTCGAAAAATATTGCAAATGGATATGGCATTGAGCACCAGGGAGGCGCAGGTAGGCCCAGAAAATTGACTGTCGGTGACAGGAGGCGGCTTGGTATTCTTGTTTCTAAAAACAAACGAAGGAGTTTAGAAAACTTAAGGCTGGATATGATTGATAGAGGAACAGTGGCTGTCTGTAAGGAGACAATTACAACTGAGCTGCATGCAATGGGTTGGCAGAAAAGCCGAGGAATTCCATCTCCGATCGTGAAACCTGAACAAAAGGAGCGAAGGTTGAACTGGTGCTTACAGCATAGAAATTTTAACTGGGACAATGTGATTTTCTCAGATGAAAGTTCTGTGTGGCTGTTTCCTAATACACTGAAATTCTGGACCAAACAAACTGAAAAATCTTTGTATCAGCGCCCAAAGTACAGTCCGAAATTAACGTTTGGGGTGGTTTATCTGTGTTAGGGGCAACACCTCTCTGTGTATTTGAATGGAATATGAACAGTGAGCGGTACACAGATATTCTCGAGGGACATTTACTTCCATCTGCTCACGTGTTCTATGGACATTTTTGGATTTTCCAGCAGGACAACGACCCAAAACATCGCTCAAAGCATTCACAGGCCTGGTTTCGGACCCAAAATATGACATTATTAGATTGGCCAAGCTATATCCCTGACCTAAATCCAATAGGAAATGTTTGGGGACTTATGAAGGAAAGTGTCAATAAGAAAAATCTGACAAATATTGCTGAAATGAAAGAAGAGGTGGTCCGATATTGGGACAGCATGGACCTCGACTTTCTAACTTCTTTGATCAGTAGTATGCCCCGCCGCATAGAAGCCTGCATTGCTGCCCATGGTGACTTGACAAAATACTAACTGTTCACCTGTCTTTGAATCTGGAGTTATGTTCCGCTAATATTCACAATTAATACGTGAGTAATGTGTGAAACAAAATAAAAAATTACAATCTTTAAATGCTCAATAATTTCTGGTTGTACTGTATATGATGTGACTCTAGCACGCGACTTCACGTATACACATTGACACATATACCTCTAGCAAGCGACTTCACATACACGCATTGACACATATACCTGCAGTACGCTACTTCACGTATACACATTGACACATATACCTGCAGTACGCTACTTCACGTATACACATTGACACATATACCTGCAGCACGCTACTTCACGTATACACATTGACACATATACCTGCAGTACGCTACTTCATGTATACACATTGACACATATACCTGCAGTACGCTACTTCACGTATACACATTGACAGATATACCTGCAGCACACTACTTCATATATACACATTGACACATATACCTGCTGTACACTACTTCACGTACACGCATTGATACATATACCTGCAGCACGCTACATCTTGAAAACACATTGACACATACACCTGCAGCACGCTACTTCACGTATACATATTGACACATATACCTGCAGTACAACACTTCAGCCATACACATTGATACATGTACCTCTAGCACGCGACTTCACATACTAGCATTGACACATATACCTGCAGCACCCTACTGAACGTATACACATTGACACATATACCTGCAGTACGCTACTTCACATATACACATTGACACATATTCCTGCAGCATGTACTTCACGTATACACATTGACACATATACCTGCAGCACGCTACTTCATGTATACACATTGACACATATACCTGCAGCAAGCGACTTCACGTATACACATTGACACATATACCTGCAGCACGCTACTTCACATATACACATTGACACATATACCTGCAGCATGCTACTTTGTGTATACACATTGACACACATACCTGTAGTACGCTACTTCACATATACACATTGACACATATTCCTGCAGCATGTACTTCACTTATACACATTGACACATATACCTGCAGCACGCTACTTCATGTATACACATTGACACATATACCTGCAGCAAGCGACTTCACGTATACACATTGACACATATACCTGCAGCACGCTACTTCACATATACACATTGACACATATACCTGCAGCATGCTACTTCGTGTATACACATTGACACATATACCTGCAGTACGCTACTTCACGTATACACATTGGCATGTATACCTGCAGCACGCTACTTCATGTATACGCATTGGCATATATTCCCGCACCACGCTACTTCACGTACACGCATTGACACATATACCTGCAGTACGCTACTTCACGTATGCACATTGACACATATACCTGCAGTACGCTACTTCACGTATGAACATTGACACATATACCTGCAGCACACTACTTCACGTACACACATTGACACATATACCTGCAGCACACTACTTCACGTATACACATTGACACATATACCTGCAGCATGCTACTTCACGTACACACATTGACACATATACCTGCAGCATCCGACGTCACGTACACACATTGACACATATACTTGCAGCACGCTACTTCACGTACACACATTGACACATGTACCTGCAGGACGCAACTTCACGTATACACATTGACACATATACCTGCAGCAAGCGACTTCACGTACACACATTGACACATATACCTGCAGCACGCTTCTTCACGTATACACATTGACACATGTACCTGCGGCACGCGACTTCATGTACACACATTGACACATATACCTGCAGTACGCTACTTCATGTATACACATTGACACATGTACCTGCAGCAAGCGACTTCACGTACACACATTGACACATATACCTGCAGCAGGCGACTTCACATAACACATTGACACATATACCTCTAGCACGGTGCTTCATGAAGATGTAGTGACATACATTCCTCTAGCACGGTGCTTCATGAAGATGTAGTGACATACATTCCTCTAGCACGGTGCTTCATGAAGATGTAGTGACATACATTCCTCTAGCACGGTGCTTCATGAAGATGTAGTGACATACATTCCTCTAGCACGGTGCTTCATGAAGATGTAGTGACATACATTCCTCTAGCACGGTGCTTCATGAAGATGTAGTGACATACATTCCTCTAGCACGGTGCTTCATGAAGATGTAGTGACATACATTCCTCTAGGATTCTACTTTGTAGGTCATTAGATATAATGGAATCCATGCAACGTTGTTTTCAATAAAGAGTAACTAAAGATGACTTCTTTACGTTCAAATGAATACGTTTCTACTCTGGTTGGTTTTCCACAAAAGATTTGGTTATTCAGTAGGTTGGAAAACATTATAAATACACGCTGTGGTAAGCCATTGCGTTGGTTTACTGAACACACGTGTTGCAAATCATGGCGGATGTAGCATACTGGTGGGTCGTGTTTTGCAGAATGACGGGCTCCACTGTCTTGTCCCTTAACGTCTGTGGAGCCATCGTCGGAGCTTACACGGTGTTTGCATTGAGCATTGACATCACAAAGGACGAGGTATGTACGTCAGCATTCATGTAGCAAGACATATCTCACTTATATAATACTGTCGAAGTGGGGATTCGAACCCAGGTCAAGTGTCAATGTGGTACATGTATCCCTGCATTTGTCACATTCACAAAGCTGCATTTACAACAGTTGTATGACTGTCGTAGGGGGTTCCAACAGTTGTATGACTGTCGTAGGGGGTTAATGTGTATTTTACCTTGTTCAGGGTCTCTGCCTTGGCGTCGCCGTCACACTGCACTTCCTGTTTACGGTGATGACTCTAGGAATGTTAGCTCAGACGGTGTATCAGGGAATTATCTTCATGCGCCATCTCACCTCTCTTGTGGTACATACACCCAAGTGGCTCTACGTCTGCCTCGTCCTGGCTGTGTGGGGTAAGTCACAAACAGCATCAACTAACCCTCATCAGCCTCATGCAGCGGTTCACTTCCATTATGACTACTCTCAGTTTGACTACCCGTCAGATACACAATCTGTTCCAGTCAAATGTTTTTTTTAATTATGTTCTCTACCCTGCATAATGTAGACTGTTCCACCATAATAATATATATATATTTGAATATGATCACAACAATAAGTATTCGTGTCTTCATGACAATAACATGGCCAGTAACGTTAGGTCATTGTTGTGGACGAGTTGATGGGAATTTACAAAAATTGTTTTGCCACCCAGCCTCAGCACGAACAAAGTCCATGGGCGACTTCTGTCTCCGGGGCTGATCCTGTTGATGGCGGAGGCGAGTATCTAGGTCTCTGTACTTCCTTTTCCCTGGTGGTGCAGGAGCTATATTGTACAACTGAGCAATCCTTCTCCTGTCCATTGCCTCGATGCTCTTGAGTCCCTCAATGAACTCAAAGATATACAAGGATGACTTCACACTGGACAGAGATCGTGCAATAGCAGCAGCATCAACAGGCAGTTGGCGGAGCTCTTCATTGTGGATCTGGGGCATTGGAGTTGACTCATCTCTTTCTCTCAGTGTGCTCATGAGTCTAACTGTGGCTGGATTGTCGGGGCCATGATTGTGCTCTCTAGTAACTCTTTTGATAAAAATCTACAGGTGTTGACAAGTTGCTTCTATATCTTGAATTCTAATTCAACTTAGTATGTAACACGAGTTCTGATTGGTCAATGCCATAAATTTCCGACCGTATAATCAGCATATACGGTCGCAATTTGAAAACCGATTCACCGAAACCTTTGAATGTATCCCTACACTATTGGGGTAACACTGTTTCGCAGGACATTGTCATTTGCAGAAGCCATTGGTCAATTAACTCCCCTATCCAGCTAAAATGGGTGGAATTTGTGTTAAAAAAGACAAAACAGTATCATAAATTTAATTTTAAGTTCAAACAACTTACTCGCAACGGGCTGTTGACCCAACACTGTTAGACTAAATCATGAAACAAGGTTTATGCCGTCATTATGGAGCGTGACGTCACCTGCTATGACGTCATTTTAGAACTGATAATGGCCCGTAGTTGAAGAATCAGCGGGCCGCTCATTTCTGTAACTAGAGGGCGGTTTCATCATAATACCGTCCATTTTATCTATAATACGATGATCTATTTATCATTGTCAAATTTAGTCTGTGTGCACATAACAAACGTGTGTAGTTTGAAAAGGGAACTACTTTCTCTGGCGATGGTGTAAGTTGAAGGAGTGATATGATTAACCTTTGACCTAGAGGAACTTTGACCTGGTTTAAATAATGAATTTCTCTCACGAAAAAACAGCGTAAAACGAGTTGAATTAGAATGGGGATAACTGTACTGTGTTTGACGAATTGGGGACGTATACCAGTGGTTATATAGCCGCAAATTTAGTTATATCGGCAACGCGTAAGCACAGTTATCCCCTAAAGATACCCATACAACAGCCCCGCTATTGTAGGGACGAATGTATGTGTCTGTATGTATGTAAGGGTGGGCTTGTATGTTAGGGAGAGTGGATGGTTGTGGCTGTGGCTGTGTGCGTACGCGCGTGTGTGGTAGAGGTCTACTTTTTCGGTATACAGAAATCTTGACGCCATCTACTACAATCAACCATGGGAACACTCATGTAAGGGAAATATTCAGTAACGTATATACAAACAGACTGACTGACTGACTGAGTTTAGTTTTACTCCGCTTTTAGCAATATTCCAGCAATATCACGGCGGGGGACACAAGAAATGGTATACAAAAAAGAAAAGAAGCGTTGTATAAACTCTGACAGTTTTTTCTCCACCAGGACATTCACAACAGCACGCAATGCTCCAGTTCCCACCAGACGGGTTGCTATGGCTGCTGAAAGTGGATGTGGATATGAGCTCCTGTCCCTAATGACTGCGAGTTGTTTTCAAATTTGGGAAAGAAACACTCCAGTGGTCACAGATTTACGGGGACCAAGACTGGGTTCATGACAACATTTTAGTTTTTTGTATGATAGGCCCTCTTAGCTGACGGTCAGACATGACAAGTTAGTGATGTTTATTGTAAAATTAACATCTGTGTTTCCAGTGGTTGGCGCAGGAATAGTGGCCGCAACAGCATTGGTGGCTAGTCTTGATAGCTACAGCACAACACGGCTGTGAGTACAAACCCATGGTAGTTACCAATATACTGTAACAGACTAACAACAAGGTGTTCCAATGTCCCGAGTTTACAGTGGTGTGTCGTTAAACACGTGTCCGGCAAATAATAGCGTTAGAGCTGATTCCTGAAACATCGGGCGCATTATTTCCCTTACTTTAACATCACTCACCTGTCTCAACTTACTTCCACTCATTCCAGATGCTGGGTGAACACGAGACGAAACGCGGCCTTGTCGTTACTGGGGACGACCGCGGCGTCACTACTGGTAGGTGGTAGCAGCAGTCTGTACCTCCGACCTTCATCTCCTCCTCCTAACTTACTGTACCACCGCCTTTTACTATCACCATGCATCGTTCATTTACACCTCAACCCTGAATCCCAGCTGTGTGACAATGTCCTGTACCTCCGCCTCTTACTATCACCATGCATCGTCCCCTTATACCTCCAACCTGAATCACCGTCGTATGCCAGTGTCCTGTACCTCCGCCTTTTACTATCACCATGCATCGTCCCCTTATACCTCCACCCTGAATCCCCGCTGTGTGACAGTGTCCTGTACCTCCGCCATTTACTATCACCATGCATCGTCCCCTTTATACCACCACCCTGAATCCCCGCCGTAGGCTAGTGTCCTGTACCTCCGCCTTTTACTATCACCATGCATCGTCCCCTTATACCTCCACCCTGAATCCCCGCTGTATGACAGTGTCCTGTACCTCCGCCTTTTACTATCACCATGGATCGTCCCCTTATACCTCCACCCTGAATCCCCGCTGTATGACAGTGTCCTGTACCACCGCCTTCTACTATCACCATGCATCGTCCCCTTATACCTCCACCCTGAATCCCCGCTGTGTGACAGTGTCCTGTACCTCCGCCTTTTACTATCACCATGCATCGTCCCGTTATACCTCCAACCTGAATCCCTACTGTACTTCAGTGTCCTGTACCTCCGCCTTTTACTATAACCATGCATCGTCCCCTTATACCTCCACCCTGAATCCCCGCTGTACTTCAGTGTCCTGTACCTCCGCCCTTTACTATCACCATGCATCGATCATTTACACCTCAACCCTGAATCCCCGCTGTGTGACAGTGTCCTGTACCTCCGCCTCTTACTATCACCATTCATCGTCCCCTTATACCTCCACCCTGAATCCCTACTGTACTTCAGTGTCCTGTACCTCCGCCTTTTACTATCACCATGCATCGTCCCCTTATACCTCCACCCTGAATCCCCGCTGTACTTCAGTGTCCTGTACCTCCGCCTTTTACTATCACCATGCATCGTTCATTTACACTTCAACCCTGAATCCCCGCTGTGTGACAGTGTCCTGTACCTCCGCCTCTTACTATCACCATGCATCGTCCCCTTATACCTCCACCCTGAATCCCCGCTGTACGTCAGTGTCCTGTACCTCCGCCTTCTACTATCACCACGCATCGTCCCCTTATACCTCCATCCTGAATCCCCGATGTGTGACAGTGTCCTGTACCTCCGCCTTTTACTATCACCATGCATCGTCCCCTTACACCTCCACCCTGAATCCCCGCTGAGTGACAGTGTCCTGTACCTCCGCCTTTTACTATCACCACGCATCGTCCCCTTATACCTCCACCCTGAATCCCCGCTGTGTGACAGTGTCCTGTACCTCCGCCTTTTACTATTACCATGCATCGTCCCCTTATACCTCCACCCTGAATCCCCGCTGTACGTCAGTGTCCTGTACCTCTGCCTTTTACTATCACCATGCATCGTCCCCTTATACCTCCACCCTCAATCCCCGCTGTATGCCAGTGTCCTTTACCTCCGCCTTCTACTATCACCATGCATCGTCCCCTTATACCTCCACCCTGAATCCCCGCTGTGTGACAGTGTCCTGTACCTCCGCCTTTTACTATCACCATGCATCGTTCCTTTACACCTCCACCCTGAATTCCCGCTGTGTGACAGTGTCCTGTACCTCCGCCTTCTACTATCACCATGCATCGTCCCCTTGTACCTCCACCCTGAATCCCCTCTGTGTGACAGTGTCCTGTACCTCCGCCTCTTACTATCACCATTCATCGTCCCCTTATACCTCCACCCTGAATCCCTACTGTACTTCAGTGTCCTGTACCTCCGCCTTTTACTATAACCATGCATCGTCCCCTTATACCTCCACCCTGAATCCCCGCTGTACTTCAGTGTCCTGTACCTCCGCCCTTTACTATCACCATGCATCGTTCATTTACACCTCAACCCTGAATCCCCGCTGTGTGACAGTGTCCTGTACCTCCGCCTCTTACTATCACCATTCATCGTCCCTTATACCTCCACCCCATGAATCCTCTGTACTGTACTTGTGTCCTGTACCTCCGCCTTTACTATCACCATGCATCGTCCCTTTATACCTCCACCCTGAATCCCATTCATCGCTGTACTTAATGTAGTGTCCTGTACCTCCGCCTTTTACTATCACCATGCATCGTTTATTTACACTTCAACCCTGAATCCCCGCTGTGTGACAGTGTCCTGTACCTCCGCCTCTTACTATCACCATGCATCGTCCCCTTTATACCTCCACCCTGAATCCCTGCTGTACGTCAGTGTCCTGTACCTCCGCCTTTCTACTATCACCACGCATCGTCCCCTTATACCTCCATCCTGAATCCCCGATGTGTGACAGTGTCCTGTACCTCCGCCTTTTACTATCACCATGCATCGTCCCCTTACACCTCCACCCTGAATCCCCGCTGTGTGACAGTGTCCTGTACCTCCGCCTTTTACTATCACCACGCATCGTCCCCTTATACCTCCACCCTGAATCCCCGCTGTGTGACAGTGTCCTGTACCTCCGCCTTTTACTATTACCATGCATCGTCCCCTTATATACCTCCACCCTGAATCCCTGCTGTACGTCAGTGTCCTGTACCTCTGCCTTTACTATCACCATGCATCGTCCCCTTATACCTCCACCCTCAATCCCCGCTGTATGCCAGTGTCCTTTTACCTCCGCCTTCTACTATCACCATGCATCGTCCCCTTTATACCTCCACCCTGAATCCCCGCTGTGTGACAGTGTCCTGTACCTCCGCCTTTTACTATCACCATGCATCGTTCCTTTACACCTCCACCCTGAATTCCCGCTGTGTGACAGTGTCCTGTACCTCCGCCTTCTACTATCACCATGCATCGTCCCCTTGTACCTCCACCCTGAATCCCCTCTGTGTGACAGTGTCCTGTACCTCCGCCTTTTACTATCACCATGCATCGTCCCCTTATACCTCCACCCTGAATCCCTCTGCTGTGTGACAGTGTCCTGTACCTCCGCCTTTTACTATCACCATGCATCGTCCCCTTATACCTCCACCCTGAATCCCCGCTGTGTGACAGTGTCCTGTACCTCCGCCTTTTACTATCACCATGCATCGTCCCCTTTATACTTCACCACCCTGAATCCCTGCTGTAATCCCCGACAGTGTCCTGTACCTCCGCCTTTACTATCACCATGCATCGTCCCCCTTATACCTCCACCCTGAATCCCTGCTGTGTGACTTCAGTGTCCTGTACCTCCGCCTTTTACTATCACCATGCATCGTCCCCTTATACCTCCACCCTGAATCCCCGCTGTGTGACAGTGTCCTGTACCTCCGCCTTTACTATCACCATGCATCGTCCCCTTATACCTCCACCCTGAATCCCCGCTGTACTTCAGTGTCCTGTACCTCCGCCTTTTACTATCACCATGCATCGTCCCCTTTATACCTCCACCCTGAATCCCTACGCTGTGTGACAGTGTCCTGTACCTCCGCCTTTACTTCATCACCATGCATCGTCCCCTTTATACCTCCACCCTGAATCCCCGCTGTGTGTGACAGTGTCCTGTACCTCCGCCTTTTACTATCACCACACATCGTCCCCTTTATACCTCCACCCTGAATCCCCGCTGTGTGACAGTGTCCTGTACCTCCGCCTTTTACTATCACCATGCATCGTCCCCTTATACCTCCACCCTGAATCCCCGCTGTGTGACAGTGTCCTGTACCACCGCCTTCTACTATCACCATGCATCGTCCCCTTATACCTCCACCCTGAATCCCTCGCTGTGTACCTGCAGTGTCCTGTACCTCCGCCTTTTACTATCACCATGCATCGTCCCCTTTATACCTCCAACCTGAATCCACTGTCGTATGACAGTGTCCTGTACCTCCGCCTTTTACTATCACCATGCATCGTCCCCTTATACCTCCACCCTGAATCCCCGCTGTATGCTACTGTCCTGTACCTCCGCCTTTTACTATCACCAAGCATCGTCCCCTTATACCTCCACCCTGAATCCCCGCTGTACGTCAGTGTCCTGTACCTCCGCCTTTTACTATCACCATGCATCGTCCCCTTATACCTCCACCCTGAATCCCCGCTGTGAGTGTCCTGTACCTCCGCCTTTACTATCACCATGCATCGTCCCTTATACCTCCACCCTGAATCCCGCTGTGTGACGGTGTCCTGTACCTCCGCCTTTTACTATCACGCATCGTGCATCGTCCCCTTTATACCTCCACCCTGAATCCCCCCTGCTGTCCCCGCTGTGTGACAGTGTCCTGTACCTCCGCCTTTTACTATCACCATGCATCGTCCCCTTATACCTCCACCATGAATCCCCGCTGTGTGACAGTGTCCTGTACCTCCGCCTTTTACTATCACCATGCATCGTCCCCTTATACCTCCACCCTGAATCCCTACTGTTCTTCAGTGTCCTGTACCTCCGCCTTTTACTATCACCACGCATCGTCCCCTTATACCTCCATCCTGAATCCCCGATGTGTGACAGTGTCCTGTACCTCCGCCTTTTACTATCACCATGCATCGTCCCCTTATACCACCACCCTGAATCCCCGATGTGTGACAGTGTCCTGTACCTCCGCCTTTTACTATCACCATGCATCGTCCCCTTATACCTCCACCCTGAATCCCCGCTGTACGTCAGTGTCCTGTACCTCCGCCTTTTACTATCACCATGCATCGTCCCCTTATACCTCCACCCTGAATCCCCGCTGTGTGACAGTGTCCTGTACCTCCGCCATTTACTATCACCCTTGTCGGTGGTGGGGGATGTAAGTAGGTCATGCGTGTTACCCCAACTTCCTGTCCCTTGTCGGTGGTGGGAGATGTAAGTAGGTCATGCGTGTTACCCCAACTTCCTGTCCCTTGTCGGTGGTGGGAGATGTAAGTAGGTCATGCGTGTTACCCCAACTTCCTGTCCCTTGTCGGTGGTGGGAGATGAGATGGTATGCTTACCCCAACTTCCGGTTCCGTGTTGTTGCTTGTTACCCCAACTTCCTGTCCCTTGTCGGTGGTGGGAGATGTAAGTTCATGCTTGTTACTCCTAACTTCCTGTCCCTTGTCGGTGGTGGGAGATGTAAGTAGGTTATGCTTGTTACCCCAACTTCCGGTTCCGTGTTGTTTTTGAGAGATCTAAGTAGGTTATGCTTGTTACTCCTACTTCTTGTTTCATGTGTGTGGTGGGAGATGTAAGTAGGTTATGCTTGTTACCCCAACTTCCGGTTCCGTGTTGTTTTTGAGAGATCTAAGTAGGTTATGCTTGTTACTCCTACTTCTTGTTTCATGTGTGTGGTGGGAGATGTAAGTAAGTTATGCTTGTTACCCCAACTTCCGGTTCCGTGTTGTTTTTGAGAGATTTAAGTAGGTTATGCTTGTTACTCCTACTTCTTGTTTCATGTGTGTGGTGGGAGATGTAAGTAAGTTATGCTTGTTACCCCAACTTCCGGTTCCGTGTTGTTTGTGGGAGATCTAAGTAGGTTATGCTTGTTACTCCTACTTCTTGTTTCATGTGTGTGGTGGGAGATGTAAGTAGGTTATGCTGGTCACTTTTACTTCCAGCTTCATGTTGGAGTCCTGATACTGTGCGCGTGTGCTGGTCGGTGTAACCACAGCGAAGGAAATGTAGAAGAAAAAGTACCCATGCAGAGCGGGGTGCCAATGAAAATATACCTGGATATGGACTCACAGCATAATCGGAAACACACTCTTCTCAAGTTAGTGGTTACAGATATGTGGTTGAATTAGATATTTGTTCATCCATGCAACGTGTGAGCATAGTGGATAAATAGACATTTTCATCTAACCAATCAACAGTAATGCATAGTTTTGAGTCGATGAGTGATCTAGGAATGACATAATCACTTGTGAGTAGGTTATATAAAAACACTTGCCTCTCACTTTCACTTCATGAGTGTAGTAATCAACACTATCTTACAAAGCATCAGCTGCTTAATGCAAGTAGATGTATGAGGGGCGGCTGAATAGCTCCGAGCCTAAGTGTGAAGGATCGATAGTACACCCTTTGCATGCAAATGTTTGGTACAATACCTTCAAGGCTAACAGGCTGCACTGAACCAGTTAGGCAAGAACCAGCAAGCAGATATCAAGGTGACCTGGTATTCTCACTTGATGAAACTTACGAGCCTGTCAGCGACTATCTCCAACTGAAAGGGCTAACTCTGACAACCATCACGCGTACACATTCCACTTTTGGGGACCTGCTCCTTCTCGTTGCTACTGTTCAGGGATGGGCAGTAGGATTCAAGAGGGTAAGCGATGAACCAGTGTCTGGAACACCTTCAAGTACTATGTCGATGGATATCGCCACCAAACATCACCTGGGCAGTACATTCGGCATCACCCATGGGACAGTTGAGAACATTCTGATAACTACGGAGGTGCCCACTGTGCAAAAATATGTTGTCCGATATGGCTGTAATGCAACTGTGGTAAGGACATCACTCCCTCAGTATTCACCAAATTCGGAACCATTTCTGCTGTTGAGGAATGTGTACACTACAAGGAGGATAGCTTGCCCGCCAACTGGTTCTCTGTTGTCACTCCAACCTCGACACCAGATGTGTGTGGAACAGGGAATGACAAACTGTAGCAACCACTTCCGTCATCGCAGTCAGTCATATCTAGATAAGCTCAGAACATTTCACCTCCTCGCTATGGTAGATAAGTGGTGATTGTTATTTTTGTCTGCACACTGATCAGTTTTTCTGTAGATTTGCCTCTATTGTGCCATATTTAGGACGTACGTGATATCACCGTCTAGGCGCTACATAAACCATGCACGCGGCATGAGCTTGTTTAAGAACATGCCTTTTATATATGCTTTAATCATTACATACTTTAAAAAGTCCTACTTCATCAAATTGTAAATCTTTCTTGACAATGGTAATGTTTATACTTGATCAAGTTGTAATTTCATCTTTGCAGTCAGAATAGATTGATAAACATGGGCAAGTTTATTTCCAGACAAGGTTTTCGGACCGTGATGATGGTACTGGAGCTCTGTGCTGAGATCATGCTGGTCCTGATGGTGATGACACACGTTGACGGCAACACGCTGGAGTATCTGTTCGCCGTCTCTACGGTGTTAAAGGTGCGTAAGGTCGATGAGGGGTCGGGGTTAAAGCCTTGCCTCATCTTGATGAACACCCGGGTTCTTCCTGGCACATTGGCACAACGCGTGTTATCCCTTCTTGAAGTCCCCAACTGTCACATGACTGGAATATTCTAATATCGTCATAATACTGGACTCGCTGAACGATATATATGCAGTATATGCATTGAACTGTAAAAAACTGAATTCAAGCAAATCCGTGTATTGCATGCAACATCCTTAAAACACGGTGGTTGGAAACAGGAAAACGTTCACACATACATACAAGATATATATCGCGTATTGAGTAATTATGAGATGGTTGTTTCCCTGTTAATCAAATAAACCTAATTTATCCCAACCGGAGTATGCAGCTACAACAGCTGGTTGTTATCGTGATATATAGACTAAACACCCTCACACATTCATTCAGTTTCCCTTTTCTTTTTCAGACCATCATTTTAGTCTATGTTGATGCGTACCTTGTGGTAAGTATTTACCCAATATAATCTTAATGTCACTATGCGTAAACAAATAGCATAAGCACATGCGTATTAAACAAATATATGTTGAGTGTATGTTTATATAAAGTGGCCATTATGCCATAGTAACTGAACTTCCCCCAAAACTGTTGTGTCTGTGTCTGTTTCCAGGACATTGACGCCTCAGCCAATCAAGGCACAGGTTCGCATCATTAACATCTCAAGTCATCACAGCATTTGACGATCAAATCATCGAGCCGTACAGAATGTAAATTATGTGGTATTTCTTAACGTGATTGTCATATATATTAATACCTCACTATGCTTTCGTTCCAAATAGTTCACATTCTTTTACATGCTGTGTTAACAACCCTCTACAGTGATGCTGTTAGTGTCTGTGGGTGAGAATGTCAAGTCTTGTGTAGGACACCCCCGTAGTCATGCTGTTAGTGTCTGTGGGTGAGAATGTCAAGTGTTGTGCAGGACACCCCCTATAGGGATGCTGTTAGTGTCTATACTCCGTGTTGCAGCAGGAGAGATGGTGGGTGAGAATGTCAAGTGTTGTGTAGGACACCCCTGTAGTCATGCTGTTAGTGTCTGTGGGTGAGAATGTCAAGTGTTGTGCAGGACACCCCCTATAGGGATGCTGTTAGTGTCTATACTCCGTGTTGCAGCAGGAGAGATGGTGGGTGAGAATGTCAAGTGTTGTGTGGGACACCCCCTGGTGATGCTGTTAGTGTCTGTCTTCATATTGCAGCAGACGGTACAGCGGTTGAGAATATATACGAGGAGGTCCTGAACGTAAACCAACGTACTCCCCGCTCGTGACTTCAACACATGAGTGAACAAGATATTCTGGCGCTGAGAATGTTTGGAATGCGTGTCTGTGGAAAACAACAACCGTACACCTACACAGACATGTGACTCAGTATGTACCAACAGCTGAGGTATATATGACGGCATATCCAGACATTAGAAGTGGACATACCGTGAACGTGAAGTAGAGTATATGAACACATGTTGTACCTGTAGTACATTATACTGGCATACTTGTGTACGTGTAGAACAGTATATGGACACGCTGTGTACCTGTAGTACATTATACTGGCATACTTGTGTACGTGTAGAACAGTATATGGACACGCTGTGTACCTGTAGTACATTATACTGGCATACTTGTGTACGTGTAGAACAGTATATGGACACGCTGTGTACGTTTACGACAATGTATGGACACATTGTGCATGTGTAGTACAGCGTGTGACAAGTACAGTATATCACACTTTTTGCAAGTGTAGCAAAGTTTATAGACATATGTAGTATAGTATATGGTCAATACGATATATTGTCACTCCGTGTTCGTGTAGTACAATAGAGTACAGGGGTTTTCTGTGTTCGTCTAGTACAGTATATTCAGTAAGGTTTAGATGATGGAATGTCCCCGACGTCAGCCACGTCCCCTATACCGAAGCCAGGTGTGTCTAACAAATAGAGCACATCTGTACCCAGAGAACCTAGTTATAAAAGCAGTGGTCCAGTGCCGTGTATCTATTTGAAGGGGTTACTATATACAGGAAAAATATGTAGGTTACGTAGCGTACGGATCACCGTTAGTTACGTATACATACCGAGACTTTACTCCGCGATACTCTTTCCCGGGCCACAGTCTGTACAGGCGTCCCATGGAATCCTAGAAAATACAGTGCTGCGGTATCGTACAGTCGCTGTTACAACAAAACAAAACAAAAACAAGCAGAAAGTGTCAACATTTACCAAAAGGCAATAATGCGACAATGTCCCTTCTAGGATTCCATAAGTTTCTGCAACAAAATCAGATGTCCGATAGGCCATCGGAGAACCAGCAAAATCATATTATGATAACTTAATTTATGTTTACGTGTTCGGAAATAATGTTCATTTGTGATAAGATTTATGGGTTACCTGGCAGCTGTCGAGCATGACATGTTGCATATATATGTGTAACTCTAATCCGAAAATGTGTTCATTTTGTACAATAAACTTGTGTCTGTATTTCATTTAACGTTCGAGGTGTTTATTTACTTGGTTCTATCGTGTTAATGTATCAAATAACGTGTAAAGTTGGACTTTGAGTGAAATTACGTAAACGTGTACTATTATATAAAAGGAAACTCGACCTGATAGCAAGGAACACAAGTACAGACACTGCCACAAAGTCACATCTTACACTCTGATACCGAGGTACAGATACTGCCACAAAGTCACACCTTACACTTTGATACCGAGGTACACGTTCTGCCACAAAGTCACATCTTACACTCTGATACCGAGGTACAAGTTCTGCCACAAAGTCACATCTTACACTCTGATACCGAGGTACAAATTCTGCCACAAAGTCACATCTTACACTCTGATACCGAGGTACAAGTTCTGCCACAAAGTCACATCTTACGTTCTGATACCGATGTACAGATACTGCCACAAAGTCACATCTTACACTCTGATACCGAGGTACAAGTTCTGCCACAAAGTCACATCTTACACTCGATACCGAGGTACAAGTTCTGCCACAAAGTCACATCTCACGCTCTGATACCGAGGTACATATACTGCCACAAAGTCACACCTTACACTCTGATACCGAGGTACACGTTCTGCCACAAAGTCACATCTTACACTCTGATACCGAGGTACAAGTTCTGCAACAAAGTCACATCTTACACTCTGATACCGAGGTACAAGTTCTGCCACAAAGTCACATCTTACACTCTGATACCGAGGTACAAGTTCTGCCACAAAGTCACATCTTACACTCTGATACCGAGGTACAAGTTCTGCCACAAAGTCACATCTTACACTCGATACCGAGGTACAAGTTCTGCCACAAAGTCACATCTCACGCTCTGATACCGAGGTACATATACTGCCACAAAGTCACATCTTACACTCTGATACCGAGGTACACGTTCTGCCACAAAGTCACATCTTACACTCTGATACCGAGTTACAAGTTCTGCCACAAAGTCACATCTTACACTCTGATACCGAGGTACAAGTTCTGCCACAAAGTCACATCTTACGCTCTGATACTGAGATACAGATACTGCCACAAAGTCACATCTTACACTCTGATACCGAGGTACAGATACTGCCACAAAGTCACATCTTACACTCTGATACCGAGGTACAGATACTGCCACAAAGTCACATCTTACACTCTGATACCGAGGTACAAGTTCTGCCACAAAGTCACATCTTACGCTCTGATACCGAGATACAGATACTGCCACAAAGTCACATCTTACGCTCTGATACCGAGATACAGATACTGCCACAAAGTCACATCTTACGCTCTGATACCGAGGTACAGATACTGCCACAAAGTCACATCTTACACTCTGATACCGAGATACAGATACTGCCACAAAGTCACATCTTACACTCTGATACCGAGGTACAGATACTGCCACAAAGTCACATCTTACACTCTGATACCGTGGTACAGATACTGCCACAAAGTCACATCTTACGCTCTGATACCGAGATACAGATACTGCCACAAAGTCACATCTTACACTCTGATACCGAGGTACAGATACTGCCACAAAGTCACATCTTACACTCTGATACCGAGGTACAGATACTGCCACAAAGTCACATCTTACACTCTGATACCGTGGTACAGATACTGCCACAAAGTCACATCTTAAGCTCTGATACCGAGATACAGATACTGCCACAAAGTCACATCTTACACTCTGATACCGAGGTACAGATACTGCCACAAAGTCACATCTTACACTCTGATACCGAGGTACAGATACTGCCACAAAGTCACATCTTACACTCTGATACCGAGGTACAGATACTGCCACAAAGTCACTTCTTACGGTCTGATACCGAGGTACAGATACTGCCACAAAGTCACATCTTACACTCTGATACCGAGGTCCAGATACTGCCAAAGTCACATCTTACGCTCTGATACCGAGGTACAGATACTGCCACAAAGTCACATCTTACGCTCTGATACCGAGGTACAGATACTGCCACAAAAACACATCTTAAGCTGTGATACCGAGGAACAGATACTGCCACAAAGTCACATCTTACACTCTGATACCGAGGTACAGATACTGCCACAAAGTCACATCTTACGCTCTGATACCGAGGTACAGATACTGCCACAAAGTCACATCTTACGCTCTGACACCGAGGTACAGATACTGCCACAAAAACACATCTTAAGCTGTGATACCGAGGAACAGATACATCCACAAAGTCACATCTTACGCTCTGATACCGAAGTACAGATACTGCCACAAAGTCACATCTTACGCTCTTATACCGAGGTACAGATACTGCCACAAAGTCACATCTTACGCTCTGATACCGATGTACAGATACTGCCACAAAGTCACATCTTACACTCTGATACCGAGGTACAGATACTGCCACAAAGTCACATCTTACACTCTGATACCGAGGTTCAGGTGCTGCCACAAAGTCACATCTTACGCTCTGATACCGAGGCACAGATACTGCCACAAAGTCACATCTTACACTCTGATACCGAGGTTCAGGTGCTGCCACAAAGTCACATCTTACACTTTGATACCGAGGTTCAGGTGCTGCCACAAAGTCACATCTTACACTCTGATACCGAGGTTCAGGTGCTGCCACAAAGTCACATCTTACACTCTGATATCGAGGTACATATACTACCAAAAGGTCCCAATTTCTGACAACAATGCAATGACACTTTGTCGTTGATATATAGTAACAGTCTTTGCTGCTCCGCAAAAGTCATTCAAATCAACTACATAGTTGAGAAACAGACTGACGTAACGTTGTTAGAGCACTACAAGTGGTGGGTGTCCCACACACTGAATGGCATCGGCTGTGACTTGGATACCGGTGAAAGGTTACTCGAGTATCAGTCCTGTTTCCGTAGAATGACTCGTCGACATGCTGTCCGGCCTCTTTTGCCCTCTGGACTGCAACGTGAACATCAACCATATTTCCAGCTGCCCTTGTGTACCATACAGGAGTTATCTTGCTTAAGACGGTTGACAAATACACAAATTGACTGCCACAACATTGTATTGTTTTAGAAAAACTATATATTTAAGTTAATAATTTTGACCAAAGATGTCCTGTGCGGAACATACTGTTTTGTCTCTAAACATAATCATAACAGCACCGAGCCTGGTCTCGAACTGAGCTTATGTACCTTCTGAATTGTTTTAATAATCTTTGATCAATTCCTGTCTGTCAGCTGTTGCAGGGGGTATATTTGTATGACATTACATGTTACCAAGTCACACCACAGGCCCTCGTGTCTTTGCGAAGATTAAAGATTTAAAAAACCTTTTTTTTTTTAGATGACCCCCGACTCGAAATGCTAGACAGTACAATACATCATGACAAGGCCGGACACTTCGGTATACCCTATCCGCCTGCTTTGCTGATCGCTACGCTACCATCGCATGCAATCGATTAAAACTTAATGTAAACATAATCATGGATGATTGGCCTATCGATCACCACTGATGACACCTTCCAATTCTTTATTGTTTATTGCTATTTCTGCAAGTCGATTGAAACCCGATTTTGACACTCAACTAAACGATCTTGACACAAATGGATGGCGATATGTCCGCACAAAACGGGGGTGTGGTCGAAGCAAGCCCTCTGATTGGTCAACGCTTGCAAAATCTGCAATTCTTTATAAATTCGCTTGATTTTTTTCTTTCAGCGAAATGTGTTGTACACATGGTCTACATGCTTTGAATGGAAGGTTGTTTGATGATAAGGAACGCAACTTCACCTGTGTGACCCATAATGGTGCTAGTGTTGTGGATTACTTCCTAGCAAGTACTGATCTATTCCCCTATTTCAGCTCTTTTGGTATTCATGAAAGAGACGCGTCAAACCATTTCCCTCTATATTGTTCTATTGATCTTCCTGGTGCAGCTTCCACTTTTTATTATTTTTATAAATCAACTATCACAAATGCTGGAGAATGATGGTGGAAGAGGTATCTTTATATCTTCACAAGCCAAGGATGTTTATTCTCTCCTATTTGCTGATGATGTCTCATCTGTATCTGACAGTGCTATGCAGCTCCAAAGGAAAATTAATGTTGTTGAAAAGTTTTGTGCAGAGACTGGAATGAAGGTGAACCTGAAAAAGACTAAAATAATGGTATTTCGCAATGGAGGTCCGCTCAAGGATTATGAGAAGTGGTTTTTAAATGGAACACAAATTGAGGTTGTTAATATGTATAGATACTTAGGTATTGTGTTTACTCCAAGATTATCATGGACAAAAGCGAAAACCTGTTTATCGTCTCAGGCGAGGAAGGCCATATTTTCTATCAACAATTATCAAAAATGTTTTGGATATATTAACCATCATGAATTGTTTAAGATATTTGACTCTATGATTGCACCAATACTCTGTTACGGATCTGAAATATGGGGAACAAGCTACTGTAAAATTATTGAAACTGTGCACACCAGATTTTGCAAGACATTTCTCAAAGATAGTAAAACTACCAACAACAACATGGTTCTGGGAGAGTGTGGGAGAGCTCCCTCCAGTATCAATATATCTCAAGAGCGGTCAAGTACTGGTGCAGACTGATACAGCTTCCACGAAACAGACTTCCTTATCAGGCATATCTAATGATGAAAACTCTCGATGATAATGGTAAAACAACATGGTCTTCTCATATTAGGTTGATATTATTCCAATATTGATTTGGTTTCTTATGGATATCTCAAGACATAGGCTGTATATCCACATTCATGGAAATTTTTAAACAGAGATTCTATGACTGCTTCACTCAAAACTGGCATGCATCACTATTTTCGTCACCCAAATGTAAATACTATTCACAATTTAAATCATCTCTAAGCGTCGAACCATATTTAACCAGTGAATTGCTACCAAATCAACGTAAAATCATAACTCAGTTTCGGTGCTGTACATCTGACTCAACCACCGACAATTGAAACCTTCATCCGATTGTTGTCATCAGACAATATACATA